TGGTCTCGACTGACTTTAGAGAGAGATATCTGGCTCTTTAGCTGCTAAAGGCTCCGCTATATCCACCAGCTAGTTGCTAACTTTGTTTGTCTGCTGTTTGGGGCCAGGCTGGCAGCATATTGTGAGTTTTTAGAGCTTTTTTGTTGAAAATTGCTGCAGTTAAAAACAAGGTTCATGAGTATGTGAACCAAAACAGTAAAGCAGTGGACCACAGAACCAAAACAATGAGCTTAAAGACACTATAAAGCCCTGTAAAGCAGAATCTGTGAAACTTCTCTATGAGTTCATCACCATGAGCAACCCCTTTCTTATTATGTTTAGTCCATTTGATCCATTGTTAATCTAAAAATATTAATGAGCGCAGCTGTTAGTACTGTTTTACACCTGGAGTATCAGTTCTCTTGCTTGGAAGCAGTCCTGGGTTCAGAACCACACCCAGAAAAGCAAACTTACCATACTCTTCTGGTGTGGCATAGCTTGTGTTTCTTGTTCTCTGTGGGTGCAGGCTGGTCTAGACAGACCGACAGCTGCTGAGAAGCAGCATCTCACATCACCACCTCCCTCCCGAGGACAGGAGCTCCTCTAAGTCTCATTAGGCCAGACTGGCAGCTCAAGTGAAAGGAACGAGGGCCGTGCGCCCAGCCTCCCATAGCAAAAACCTCCCCATCGCTCACAGGAGCTCTCATTACTTCTCTCCCCTTCCCCTCCGTCCCCCAGCCCCTCTCTTAAAGGCAGCCAGCTCCATCCATCAGATCTATCGATCCTGTCTCCCCCTGGTGTGGTACCTGCCTGTTTTTGAGAGTAAGTGGGAAGGATGGCAGAGCTGGCATGATATTTCAGCTTTCCAGTGACAGCCGCGTCCCCCAGGGATGTTACAAGGTGAACCAATGTCTGGGCTTCTTGGAGGAAGTGCTCCCCCATAGATCTAAATGGAGGAGGTCTCTCTGGAGGAATTACTAACAATATGTTTTTCCTGCTTGGACATTGAAGTAATAATCAATTCTCTGTTGCTTATGCTGCTGGTTACACAGCTTGCTAAAAAAAGAGTATCCCATTCCTCTTGATATTACACATGAGAAAGCAGCTCAAAACAAACCAAAACCATTTTTTCCCCCAAAAAAACACTGTCATAACTGTTGTTTAAGGCTTGACAGTGATGTTTCACAAAGGAACTTGGATACTGTAAATCTTCTTAAAGAGATTTGATGGTGTGTCACACAGAGTTCCTGTTGGCTTTGATCTTATTACTCTGATGGTTTTTGGGCAGAGAAGCAAGCCATAAGCTTTTAAAGCGATTGCCTTTGAGAAAACCATTTGACATCAGCAGTTATACTTCTAACTGGGATTAAATACACAGCATGTAACATTATTCAGAAGTATTTGTCTTTCAGTCAAATTCATCCAAAATTTGTTTTGTATGTTTCTTCAGGGTCCCTTGGAGTAAATTGTGTCTAATTTGAAGTGTTTTTATGTAACACGGACAAATGTACATGTTTGATCTGAGAAAAGATCTGTAAACCCAACACGCTGATAGTTAGGATCTTAGATACAAGATACTGAGGTCATGAGTGCCCTCAAAGACCCTTCAAACTAATCCTAGAGAGAAAGAGAGAGAGAGAGAGAAACTAAAAATAATCTCTGAAATGTATTTATTTGTCATAGTTCATTTAACATGGATAACAGGATGCGGGGAATATGACCTCGGTGTCCTCGGTGGTAGCTATGGCTGTGGCTGTCTGACACACATAGAGCTCCTTATTGTTACTTTTCTCTAGGATGCAAGCTTTTTTATTATACTAACTACCCAGTACTTCCTTGATTTATTCCCTGAAACTCAAAAATGAGAGACTGATTGTGTGCCAGATGAGTTGTTCTGGGAAAGAGATAAAACGTGGATTGGTTCAATCATGCATGTTCTTCTATGAAAATGATATTAAAGTTGGAGTGTGGTGTATCATTGTCTCAGTACAGTATTATCGTCCCACAACCTCCACCCTCAGTCCAGTCCCAGTGGTTCACAGTACAGTCTCTCACTATTAAGGCACATTAGATATCAGATGCTTGAATCATCAGAGATTTAAATATATTTTAGTGTCGCGTTCTATTATTTTTTCCTTGGGGGTCTTACTGCTCAGATAGATCACATGCAGGCCAATTATTCCGAATTTCAGTCTGAATGATTAAATATGTAAATGAGTAATATTTCTGATTGGGTTCCTGCAGGATCAGTAAATCTCTCTCTGCACTTGCACAGACACGTGTTGCACACACACCTTGTTCTCTCAAACGCCTGCCTTTCTTGGAAAGGTCTCGCAATTTTTCATGTGTAATTTCTGAAAGGGCCAGTGTGTAAATTAGATATAGCAAAATAAAAATGAGAATAGACATGTGATTGCCTCTCTGAGTGCATTTCCTCCAGTGCTGTAATTTCTCATACAGCCATAAGTGATGGAAATAGGTCTGTTTCTGAGGAGACTGCAGCTCCCACTGGCACAGTGTTTATAATTAAGTGTGATTTTCAACATCAAGATCAGACCACAGGAAAAAGAATAAGGCAGGCTATTTCCTGTTGTCTCTGCACAGTCTGCTCTGTTGTTCATTTGTGCCACACTTCCGTTCCTGGTTTGACAGAGGAATATGCAGATTTTGAGTAGGGAAGACTAGCAATTTAAAATGCTTATTAATTCCACAGGAATTTCCTCCCTGTTTAATTGCTGGGTTGAATTTATTCAACAGTTGAGTAAAGTGCAGAGTGAATTTGAATGAGCTCCTAAAACCACTGGAAAGAGTCAAATAAAAGGCCACTTGCACGCGGCGGTGAGTTCGGTGTCCAGGTTTGCTCTGTAGAAAAAAATACCTCTCAGGAGAGTTAACTTCACTGACTCAATGACCAGAACTGACATGCAGTCACTCACACGTAATAAAAGGTGTCAGTTTCAGAGGAGCATACAGAAATCTCTGGAGGTGTGAAAGGCATGAATACAAAATAAAAACTCAATTTGCATTCATTAGTGGTGTCTGTGACGCTGGTTGAAGCGGTGCGAGAGGAAAATCTGCAACACGATCTATGATTCTCCCATGGTTCAGAGAGTTTGTACATGTACCTGTCAGACAACGTAACAACTCAGCAGGGAATCAAATAAACAAATCCAGATCCCAGACCCAAATCCCCTGATACAGACACACTCCTGAAATCATTCATTCATATTCAGTCATAAAATATTCTTCATAAATCCAGAGAAACATTCGAACAAGGAGTGGGACAAAATCACTTGTATTTGCATGTCATTTTCAGATGCTTAATGAATTTTTCTGTTCTCACCTTTTATGGTTTATTTTCCTCAGGCAGACTCCTGTTTGCCTGAGTGACACCGGAAAATGCTTGAAAGTGAATCAATTTGGATTGGAAACAAACCAATTTATCTCACCTCACTGGCAAATTTTCCATCACTACATTTATTGATTGATTTATTTATTCAATGTAGAACAGTTCCATGCTGCCTGCACAAAAAAAAAAACAAAAAAAAATCAGCATTTGCCAAATAGCAATTGTCCAATCATAGCTTAGCAACTGTAACTAGGCAGGCAGGTCTGTCAAGCTTTGGATTTCTCCACATGTTGAAGTGGTTTGCATGTGGCTGTTGTAAAGAGTGATTCTCTGTGTGTTTATCTGCTCTAACGTAAGCTGCAAATGTTAGCATGTCTGGCTAACTAAATTAGTACCTGGCTACAGTAGTAACCTATAATTATATCCAACATTTGACATTGCTTTGTGGGGTTAAAGGTTATGTTAAAAAACAAGTCTGTCCATGCCTCCTCTTTGTAGTATTTCTCCTGCTGCACAGCAATGATGTTAATTTTTGGCCTGGGACATGTGGGTTTAGCCTCCGTCTTGTCACACAATATCATGTATTAAGCCATAAATTGCGATTTTTAAAGGGTTAGTGTTTTAAGTCAGCTGGAAACATCAAAAAGTTAGCCGGTGATGATATTTTAAATCAACTCACAAAGCTGATGTTAGGTTGATTAGCAAGCTAGCTCCAGGTGATACAACCTGCTGGCCACGGTGGTAATTTCAGCCGACAAATCAATGATTGCTGGCTTGAAATGAGAAGCCACCAGTTGTTTACCTCTGTCTGAAATCAAGGGACCATTGTTTTGGAAAACAGTTATTTTCCGAACAATGGTGAATGAATTTCAAGTTGTAAACTTCACTGTTATCAGCAAGAAAGGGGTGGATCTGACTAGATTATATAGGAAAAGTATGGAAAGAACAAATTAGAATACCATATAACAACATTGGGAATTGCAGAGACAAAGGACTTGCACTGCATGGTGCTTCATTTTACATCAGGAAACATCTCACCCGGTTATATCTGCCTGCTGAAAACCATCTGGGTTTTTCTCTGTGGCCATTTTATGAGCAGAGCTGCCACGTGGGGCACAGTATGGTGCAAGCACACATTCAATTATGAGGTGGGGGCGTTTGGCAGGAAGGTGTGTGTGCCAGGCTCTGTCTGTATGCTGCCTGAAGCTGATAGATGTGGAGACTTCTGGCCTGGCAAGTGGTTTGCAACCTGTCAGTAATGTCAGAAAGGCCCATTGTGCTTCTGAGGAAAAACCCTGAGCACTCAGCTGTGTTTACAGCCCAGAGCGCGGGACTGCAGACACGCCTCTGAGGATCCCTCAACAGCCTCCCGCTCCTAAAAACACAGAGCAGAATCAGATGGAGACAAAGCAACACCATCCCATTTTTCTCCGCCATGTCCTCTGTGAGGCTGCATCCCAATTAGCCACACCGCCGCTGCTGAGGCGAGATAACAATAGAAGTCCATGTATCCCCTAAAGACCTCACTAGAGGACCTTTATTACCGTATTGATATCTCCTACATGTCACTACTGCCCTCACTTGCCTGGCAGCATGCCCGCACATCTTATATGAGGGAAAATCACCAGAGGGGTTGTAACTCAATACAAGAAGAAAACAGCAGGACACAACATTAGACTTTATGGTACATGCTGTAATTAGTGAGATGCTGCAAGGAATAAATATAAAATATGATACAGCAAGTTCAAGCTGCACAGTAAATTAAAAACTGATTAATAGGTGAAAGTACAAAAAATGTTTCTGGCAAAAAAAAAAAAGTCAAGTGACACCCAGTGGAATGAACAAAAATATTCAGATAAAATAAAATTAAAACAACACGTTATCAGTGGCAAACAAACACAACAGACAGCAGTTGCAAATATCTTATGAGTCCACTGATGTTTTATCCTTCAATATTTCCTACAATAAGAAACATGTATTTTAAAATACAGAGCATCTCTACAAGCATACGCTGCTTTAAGACAGGGAGGGAAATAAAATCTAAATATTGCATTTTCCACACAAAGAAAAGAATAAAGTGTTCAAGTTAGCTCACATTCTGTAGCACCACAATGAGTTATTTCATGGACAAAATTACACGTAACTGAAGTCCAATCGTACAAAAAACCACACACAAAAGTGGCTAGCTAAAAATGAAGCATACGTTTTCGTTTATGTGCAAGACTGTTACCAGTAAAAGATGTTTGGATTGTCTATTTGGTCCCCGGTCAAAATTCAAACAGGTGGCTGCCGTGAGCGATTGGTGATTTTTCGACGTCAGTTTGATTTCAGGCTTGCTATCTTACTGTTTTTGTCGTTAATTTTAAAGTGAGACTTTTGGAAGAATAAATAACACATTATAACACCCTTGATAAATTTGATACACTCTGGGATTTTGGTGATACAGCTAACTAATGTTAGCTAATCTAAGCAAACACCAAACAGACATTACTGAGTCAGTTAACTCCTCTTTTTCTACTGTTACATATGTTTTACCATTTACCATAATTCATTAACTTTCACTAGTGGCCACAAGTTGCTGTTGTTCAGTCGAAGTTACACAGTCTCACTTTGAGGCTGATCATTTCTTACTTGCCACAAATCTGAACTTAAACTCTTCAAATAACCAAATAATCACAAAAATTTCACGTGATTGCTCAGCACTAGTATGACATGACATAAAAAAAACTGCATCCAAAAACATCTTCATTGAAAAAATAATCAGTATTTCCGCTTTGTGGCCTAAGGCACTTTTTACCTGGTTAAACTTCAGCTGGCAAGATTTGAGGAACAATTTCATTAAAGTGTCTTATATTTTGCATTCATATCAAAATCCTTCATATGTTTTCCCAGTTGTGGATGTATAAAATGTTACACAGACTTTCTAAGGCTTTGTACTGGAAACTTTCAGCAGTACCAAAGAGGCTGGTTGCAAAGCCCTTTGAGTGAGGCTTTACAGTAAATGGATATGGGGTCACTCCTATTGCAAAGCTGAGGTCAGGCTCTTAGAGAGTCGGTCTGTGTGTGAGTGGTCATAAAACACTACTAGCATCCATTTCAAATGCCCCAGCTGTCACTGAAGTACTGGTCCTCTTCTTCCTCCTCTTCCTCTTCTTCTTCTTCCTCAGTCTCATTTTTCATGAGGTCATCATCCTGTAACTCACTCACTTCCTCTTCCTCCTCTTCTTCCTCTTTGAGCTGTGCGAGCATGGTTTGTAGAGTGGTTTTGACTTCCTGAACCTCCTTCTCCAACGACTGTGCAGTGTGGGTTAAGGAAGACTACGATGCTGCGGACACAAACCGAGAGTCGGACATTAACGTGTAAATAAAAGAGCGTGCCAGCAGGCAAATATCAGGGCAAATGTGACACTTGTGGCCCTCTATGGTTAATGGTAACAACAGTGGAAAGCCATAACCTGATGAAGCCATCAATCTCCAATTTGGCCCCCAAACGGATTACTGGGACAGATCATCAAGTCATACCCAATTTAACCCCATCCAATTCAGTATTCATGAGCTCATCTTGTCTGTGAAGCTGGGTGGCAGTGTGGGGACCCAAGCAAACAGGCTGCCCAGCTAAATTATTCATAAACCAGCAATGAAACGGGATAGAGGCTGTCATCAGTGGGGGGATTGTTTAACCTGCTTAGAAACTCAAATTAATCGTGTGAGTGTCCGGCTTAAGTGGCAAATCAAAGGGATGGCTTTGATGGCAGATGGGGCCTGATGGCTCGTTTTACTGTCTGAATGGACACAGATTGTCCTCATTCATAATTAACCAGCCGTTAAAGAGCTTTTCATGAATACTGCAGAAGGTTCGACCAAACTTTTAAGGCAACATGGTCCAAATGGGACGATCCGAATTATGTTGGAGGCCTTAAAGACAAACCACAGAGACTGACAACATTTTGCCCATTCAACTCTTTTTTTTAAATTCCAGTCTCTGTGGTCGTCCATTCCACCTCCCTGTATTGAGAGCAGGGACTCAATTAAGACCCCTAGAGACTGAAGGTCTGATCTTCCCGTCACTATAGCAACAGCAGCGCCATCCCGAGTTTCAATTTCTGCAACCCAACAACAATATTGGCCTGCATCTTCAGTGTCCTCAAGTGTCCATCGACTTCAAAAGGCTGGGAATGAATGACGTGTAAGGACACAAAAACAGAAAGGTGGAGAGAGGCGGGCCAATCTGTGTCTATCTCCTACTGCCAGGCTGCATCGATATCATGCAAACAGCGACGGAGCCCGCACTGACCCCTGACAGCACAGCGGGGGACATGAATCTCTAATCAGATGTGAAAACAGTCCAGCCCCACTTCAACCGAGAGTAAAGGATGCACTGTAAATAAATAAAACTAAATAAACATCTTCATCAGATTAGGAAAGTATTTCTGGCTGCTCGTGTTCAAAGAAGAGAAATGAGGCGTGACACTAAATAAATAAATAAATAAATAGATAAACAGCAGGTTAGGTGGCAAATTTTCTTCAACCCCGTGCTGAAATATTGCCTTTTCTATCTGTCTTAATAAGCACACAGTGTAGAGGGGAAAAGTGGAGCGAGAAAAACACACTAATCTATTTCCAATCAGCTTTCTAATTAGCGCGGAAAATGATGTATTGTGACCTGTAATCAGCTTCAACAGTTTCATTTGAGTCATTATCATGGATATTGTAATTTCCTCCCAGCCAGATACCAGCAAGTGGAAGTGGGCAGACGGAGGAGGGGAGGGGAGGTGAGGGGAGGGGAGGAAGGGGCGACTGAGGGGAGGGGAGGGTCAGCAGGAGCATGGACATTAGGATATGACGGGAGCACAGTCATTACAGTGACATTGCTCTATCTGTTGCGGCGCTGCCCCTGTCGGCCGACTTTAATCTCAGCCTGTGGTGACTGGCAGCCCACATCAAGGACCCTCTAATAACCTCGCTTGGACTTTTACCATTTTCATTTTCCAGTTGGCACGTCCAGCCTGTCAAGAAAAATCCTCTGATCCCAGTTTATCTTCAATTCCCTCCCTGAATGGACCCATAATGTCAGATAAAGCAGGATGAAATTTTTTTCTCGAAAGGTAAAGTCACAGAACATCAGTCAGCCTAAAGGTAGTTTGGATGTGTACTTTTGAGAGTTGGAAGGCATTCGAGGAAAACTGGGTCCTTAAGATGGATGGACGGAGGCAGAAACACACACACAGATAGTATAGTTTCAATGATGTGTGTACATTTAGAGAGCAGTGAAAGGATATGAGTGAGGGCCTGATCCCGGTTCAGTATGGCCGTCTGCAATTCATCTTCCAAGGTCATTAGTCTGTCACTGATCAGCTCGCAGCGCTCGGTCAGGTCGGCAGCCTCAGCCTCGCTGCACCCATCCTGGCAGGAAAAGGAAACAAGGGATGAAATGATTGGTAAGGAAATGATCAACAAGTGAAGCTGCAATGGTTCAAATATATGGGTCTGATATTGAAAATGAATAACAATAACAACAAGCAAAACGGAAAACTTTTTCGTACTGGTATCTAGAGCCAGCGTTTGGTTTTGTCCATTCTGGGCTACTGTAGAAATATTCAGTACAAGGTTCATTAATCACCATAATTACACAGGTAGATCCATGCAGTAAAATATTGTGTTATAACCCATGTCTTCTCGTTAGACAATAATTAAACCTGACACACTTATGCTTACAATAAGTGAATGTTGAATGGTGCTACAGAGTGAACACCTGTAGCATTATTGTGTCATACAACAAATCATCAACAAATAAAGTAGATACTGACATATTAAACCACTATAACACCTAAGACCAGTGAGTATATGTTATAATATTTCAATTGAATATATATATAAATGAATATATTATTTATTAAAGTTAGTGTATAGACGTCTTATTTAAAGGATTGCTTTTCTGAAAACATTATACAACACTGCCTGACTTGAGTTGTTTCATTCTCTCTTTAATCTTAGTTTTAATTGGTTTAATTGATTGCATATGCGCTCTTATAACCATGAGTCAGAGCTCAACATGGAGCTTTTCCAGAGTTAATCTCTTTCACACTACATCGTTGACACCGTTTCAACCAGACACAAGTCTGAAGTGGAGAAAAGCAGGCCAGACACAAGGCTGCCAAAATCTTTGTTTGGTAAAGCACCAGGGTCATCATGTACACAATACACACCAGAGGGCCTGTGTGCACAGCATTGATCTGCAGATCACCTGAGGATGCTGTGAGGCCTGAGTGTGTGTTGGAGGGTGATGGGGATGTCAGGTTGGTGGGGGAGCAGAGTGCAGTAGGGCAGAGCATTCAGAGAGCAGAGCTGGCCATAATTAGAACAGGCCCCTTTGCAGACATCGTGTCCTAGTTTCTTCACACTTATCAAGCATAGAGAACACAAACACACGCAGGAGAGTACACAGAAGCACTTCAAGCAAATAGACACACGCACATGCACACAGACCCAGTGTTCTCGTCAAACAACACATAGAAAGTCTAATCTGACTCATAGCTGCAGGTAGGAAATATCAACTCCCTGCAGCTCAGAAGTGTCAGAACAATCACTTGAAAGTCATGTCTCTGGTCTCTGTCCTGGAATAGCACTGCTTCTCTGGATGATGTAACACCCCAAAAGAAGTGTATAACAACAATGAGCCAGAGGCGCAACGGTGTGTACAAGTCATCCCAGATGCAATTATGGAATTAAGTAAGACTTAAACTCAGAACAACCCACAGGACAAAATATTTAAAGAAAACATCTTGTGTTTGTGTGTGGGGCACTTAAATGAACAAACACAATCACGCGTCTGTCCTCTGGCGTCAACTTATGTGGGGCCGGGATCCCTGTACAAAGACAGTAGACAGTCAACCTATAGATTCACTGAACTGTTTGTTTGTCAACCTTAGGGCCTTCTATTGCCGATAAGTGCCCTGTGTTTCTGTAACTGATTGATTCTATACTTTACAGCCTCCAGTCAACATTTGTAAAGTCAATACAACCACAAGGTAAAAAACAAAAGCTCACCGTGACACTGTTGAAAACGAGACAGTCTGTTGTCAACTTTGTAGACAAAACCTTTTAAGAAACTGTTAAGACTATTCAGAAGCTTTATTTAGCTCCTGGTGGCGATCAAAACAATACAAATAACTTTCTGTGCTACCACTGCCTTTTACAAACAAGAAAACATGCGAAATGAAATTTCAACAACATGTCAATTTGTATAATAGAATCCCAGGCACGCATGTATTGGCGTGTTGATTCCTGATGTACATTAGTGCTAATGTTATTAGACCAAAAGTAAACAAAGCAGACTGCAGAAGCATGAACTTGAGCAAATTATTTAGAAATTCAATATCCACACTCGTGTATGCGCTGGTATGGTTATTTAAACAATAATGAGTGAGAAGCAGCAGGTTATTGCGTGAGTCCCCATGGGTGCTGTTAGGCCCGACACTTTGTGCCGAGCGGGCAATATAAAGCAATAATATTGCACCGGTATTACACTCAAGGTCATAATTGCTTTTACAAAAAATAAAGTAGGTGAATTCATTTTAAACTCAAAAGGATATTAACTAGCTGATGATGAACTAGTGTCTTTGTTATCGTTGATGCCTTGTTAGTAAGTCAATGGGTCCACAGTTAGAAATACTGTCACTTTCCAAGATCATCTACAAATCTGTGCAGAGACAGTATGAGGCGTTAGTCAGTGGCTGTGTCCCAGTTCCATACTGCATACTAATTACAGCAACATAATGATGATTATATGGTTTCATCTGCACATAAAAAGAAACAGTGTCCATCCACTTTGACTGCATTTAAGCACAGAGCACCATTGACATAAACACAGTCCGCCTCTCTTCATCCGGCGCTCTGGCCACTCAAGCAACTAAAAGGAAATGATATAATATGTGCACCTTTAGACATCAATCAAACTGCGACTCTGAAATGTCACTGACGATTAAACTTCACAGAAAGGAAGCAAACTTTTCTTTTTCAAATATTTAATCGTTTGATTTAATGCTTTTTTTAAAAAATCTCACCAACAATCACAATTTATTTGAATCTTTTTCATTTCAATGTGTCACAATGCTGCCCATCAACAGCACTCTCAAAATCAACAGTTTTCTCTCTCAAAAATCAAACGGCATAATGACAGTTTTGAGTACTTAATTTAGTCACTATTCAAGTGTTAAGTGGAATTTGGATATAGCTTCAGTTATTGAGTGTGCTGTTGGTGCACACTTCTCTCCCACAATACACAATTGTCCACAGTAATAAGGTGAATGGTGCCTCTGTCATTCCCACTCAGCACCCCGTAGGCCTGCTCTCGCACCATGTAACTTTGGTAACCGACTTTGGAGAAGCGTGTAAAGCTTTACAGCAGCAAGCCACGCATCACCAGTCACTGATTTTAGTAAAACTGGGTCATATGTTATGGAGAAAATGTTTTCTGGTTTTCCCTCTGATCTCTTCCAGGACAGAAAGCTTTGGTTGTTGCTAAAGTGAGGCACTGCAGCTAACTGGGAGCTCACTGGAGCACGAGTGTCTGTGTTTAGCCCTCTACAACAGGAGCTTTGGTTTGTACGCCCAGGGCAGAGGAGCTGTGCCGAAATAGGCACCAGAAGAAATGTCACCAGGCTCGAGAGCCACTATGGACATCATTAGATGGCTATTGCTATGTCCAGTGTTGTTGCACTTGCTTAATGTTTGGCTGTGTAAGCAAAATAATGTACACGTGTACAGCTGTTCATATTTATGATATTTATGAATAACACTGGGGGCATCAAATTGCAAAAATACCAGCTCTTAGATAATGTTGCTTAAAAAAAAACATATTAAGTCTTAAAATAGTGGTTTGGTTAAATTTAATTTGGGGTATGAGTCACAGTTTGATTGATATTCATACATTGCTTGATTGATGTCCGTACACGCTGTTTAAAATGAAAACCTGCATATATTTCTTGTACACTGACTGTATACAATAAGTGATAATAAGTATATAATAGCTACTGTGTACAATTAGCATGCAATAAGGAATTCTGCCAAAGCACTCATCTCTTGATTCTCACAAGGCTGGTGTAAACAAAAACTACCTGATTAACAAAGCTAATCAAAAGCCGTCAACATTTCAAATTAATAATGTCTCTATTCCTGTTCGGTACAGTGGGTCAGTATGAAGAGGGGGATGTAAGGACCTTGAGAGGATAAAAGAACAATTAGTAGAAGATTAGAAGAAAAAAGAATAGTGCTTAAACACACACTTGCGCACATGCACACACACCAATCAATCTCCATTGTGGCAGCAGGGCAGCAGCATGGCAGCAGCTAAGTGGAAATCATTTACTTAAAGTCATTATGGAAAGGAGAAAGAGGTCAGACGAATCCAGCTCCTCCATTGTGCTATCACTACACCATCAAGACAAAGATACAATATCATTTAACAGCCATCATATCATCTGACTGCGTGATACATCATATTTTATTGTGATTGAGGCATTTTATGTCAACTAGTTTTCAATAATTCAAGTTGCATAGTTTTGATATACAACTCACTGCCCCTATACACCTTGTGCATGAGCATAAATTGGCCATTCCTGTCTTGGTACCTGTCGCCTGTCAGGTTTTAAATCCTCACAGAGCACTTATGAAGTTTATAATAATCATGACACGTTTTCCATTAAAATTCTTGGTCATTTTTGTTAGACAATGGGTCATTGATTACACACAGAGATGGACAAAAGCAGGCGTCTCATTTCTTGCCAGCATACAGCTGAAATGCAAATTGTATTGGCTGTACTGTAGCTAACTATTAAAGCTCCATGAGTTGGCTTAAAACGCTCTCTCCAACTGACCTTACAAGGTTTTCAGGTAATTTAATTTAAAACACAAATTCTATAAAATGGTCTTAAATATTAATATACATAAGATTATGCTAAAAGACTGATGCTAAAGCTACACATCCCAGGCAAAAAGTTAGCATCTTCATCAGTAAGCAGTCACATTTAAAAGAGAGTGTCCTATTGTATTGCAGTATAACAAGGAAAAATGCAGGATCACACTAATATAACCCTGTCTGACTTAGCTTACAAGCAAGTTTTCCCCGTAATTAAAACAATAATTATGGGCGCCCGGTTAGCTCAGTGGGTAGAGCTGGTGTCCCGTGTACCGAGGCTGAGACCTTTCTGCAGCGGCCCAGCGTTCGAGTCCGACCTGCCGCCCTGTGCTGCGTGTCATCCCCTCTCTCTCTCTGCCCCCCTCTCCTGTCTACCTTCAGCTGTCTCTATCAATTAAAGGCTATAAAATGCCCCAAAAAATACAAAGAAAAAAAAAAACCACTTGAAACTTAAAAATAATGTCACCCTCATATTTAAAATTACACTAGGAAGAAGCTTTGAGGAAGTGATGAGTTGGACAAACACTATCTCAGATAATGAGTTTCCTGGGGTTGCTGGAGCAGCATTGGAAGTATCGCTTGGTTAGGTTACTATTGCCGGTAGTAAGCTAATTAGCCTGACACGCTAACATATGCAGCTTACATTAGAAGAGATAAACACACTGTTAAATCAACTCTTTACAATTTTGCTCTTGTATTTTTGGTTTTGGAAAGGCACAACTTTCCAAATGTTGCAGCACATTGCTTCAACACATGGAGAAATCCAAATGACAACCATGCCGGACATTACACTGAGATATTACCTTACCCATCTATTTATCTTTTTTATCTTCTCTACCTCAGTACTTTATTCTATTGTTGTATTTATTTATTATCTATCTATCTATCTATCTATCTATCTATCTATCTATCTATCTATCTATCTATCTATCTATCTATCTATCTATCTATCTATCTATCTATTGCAGTAATTCTTTTAGGTGCTAAATTACTATCTATTTCTATATCTATTAGAGCATTTGGTAGACATGCATACACCACTGTCAGACACATCAGTTTATTCTGGTTCTGGTGCCCTTTTTACTGTTTGTCTACCAGGTGTGAAAGAGTATAAATGTATGAATTTAAAGCAGGAAGGTGCTGAAAGGAGAATACATGTTCAGCAAAACTCTCCCCATGCATTACTAAAGGCCGGGTAAAACGGCACCAGCCGAGGCTTCTCATGTAAATCAGTATTGATCAGACAGTCGGAAAGGCGACAGAGGTCATGTTTAAGTTACGGTCAACTAATTGATTCCTCTGTGTCCCAGTAAACCCAGCGTCAACGTAACTGACACTTTAATTACACTGATAACATTCAAGCGTGTAGTGACAGTGTTAGCATTACCAACCTCTGGGTGATTATCCTCCATGCAGAACAAAAACTCCTCCAATTTCTGCAACAGAAAGGGAAAGGTTTGTTAAGGCCACACAGTCATAAACCTGCTCATGAATTATTGAAAATGCAATTATGTTGGCTGTGTACTGTATGTGTGCAGCATCATCATAATGAGAGGAGGTTATAATTATTCATCACCAAAACTGACAAGGAGAAAATAGATTAACCGCCTCATCTGTACTGCAGCTTTCCTTTGTTAGTATTCAAAGTGTGTAATTGTACATTCTTCACTAAGGAAGGAGGTAATAATTACTGTACCTATTGGACGCTAACATATTGTTTGTGGCTTTAGGGTAAGTACATAAGGAGGCAGACTACAACAAATAATAATCAGCAAGGTTTAATGATTATTTTTAATTAAAAAATGTGTAACAGCCTTCATCGCTTTGCTCTCCAGTAAACACAGCTGACCATCTATAACTAATGTATCTGAGATCAGATTGTTAATATGCTACAAGCAGTCACACAAACCAGATTGTCTCTGCTCTCTCCAATTACATCCATCTGACAGCAACATATCATCTGTCACATGCGGTTTTCAAGGTACAGCTTGCAAAGGTTTTCTGGCATCCAGCTGATAAAATACTCTTCCATTGTCCCTTTGCTTTGAGATGACAACACTCATATCTACCAACTCCAATTTAAAGTACGTTTTTTGATATGTGGGTCCTTCAATCTTCAGAAAAGTGAAGTATATTAAGATATTAAAAGAAACTAAATGGCTGAAATATAAGAATAACAGTAAAATAAGTCTCATATTTCTCTATGGTGTTTGCTTCCCTTGAGAAAAAGCCAGAGCTGCAACTGAATGTGCTGTGAAGCTTCTCTTTGATAAGAGATTACAAGGTGTTCTTATGAAAAACATGTTAGCTGGTTAGTTGGGAGCATCAATGTGTTCTCCTCACAGCCTCTCTGTCCATGAACGTCATAGATAATTTTTGTTGAGTTCTGTGCAAATTAATTTGAAGCAAAATTGTGACTCATTTCCAAATGTTCTAAATTGGAGAAGCTGTGCACTGATGTTCTGAAACATTCAAGGATTTATACTACCCAGGCTGAATTCAGAGGACATTTTGCTACATCCAGTGTTCCTGACTTGGAGGACACAGAAAATAGAGTGTACAGGACAGAGACAAAAGAGAGGAATGGTTGGCTGTCTCACCTTTTAGTTCTTGGAGAAATGTTAGGAGGGGCCAGGCTTCAGGAGGAGAAAGAAAAGCAGAGAGAAACAAAGGGAAAGCAGAAAATGGATCCATGCAGTTTGTAAAATGCAGTCAGGCAGGGCAGGGAAAGAAGACATCAATGCAAAGTGTATATTTATGGTTGTACAGACTGTGAGAGAGGGTAAAGAGTGTGCAACAGAAGGAGTTATTAAACATGACTTCAAGCTTCAAGTTTTAATACATGCAAGTGGACATTCTGCCAACAGCACCAGTGAAGATCCCTGACATATATTTCCTTATGGACACAGTCCATTAAATCCATACTGAAATAAGCAAATTGGAAATTTAAAGTATACAATATTGTTGTTATATTGTTAAAAACAACATGTTAAATCACAAGCTGTGAGCCAAACTAACAACATATAGTCTCATAAAAACATGTCTGGCAAGTGTGCTATTTTTTTATTAACACTGGTTCTGTTGGCTTTGTTCCTATCTCCGACGAGTCTGTCAGACTACGTGGGCGGAGGAAAGTGTGAGAGGAGGAGAGAATGAGTCGGACTCTGCCCTGAGGCAGTGGACCTCAATTCACTGTGGGACAGACCAGCACAGCGCGCTCACACAAACACGCACCATACACACACACACACACACACACACACACACACACACACACACACACACACACACACACACGCACACACCACAGACATGCATTCCCACTAAATGCATGTAATCGTGCAGAAACAGACTCTTAAATCTGCACTCTGTAGAATGAAACTCTTCAAGGAGGCTAAAATATTTCCAAATGGTTGCCTCCCTCACGCCCACATTTTCCTCGTTTATAAAATACCTTCGAGCAAACATGATAATAGACAGCTGCTCATCTAACTGTAGTCGACAGTCTTTTATACTAGTTACATGAATGTACGGACTAAAAATGTCTCTCTCCAGTCAAGTGGTAAAACTGACCGAGCAGGAACAACTTATTTGAGTTCATGTTTGACACCACAGTAATAAAAAAGTCAATCTGAAAGTGGGTTTTGTGTAGAAAATATGAGACTTCAGCAATTGAAAGGGAGGACATCTTTTATATTCAAGATACTCTGAATCTCAGTCTGCATCCATCAATCTGTCATGCATGAATGCATAGGCGTTTAAATGAATAATACATTGTGTGTTGTTAACAAGCTGCTGTTGTGTTACCTTAGTGAACTCTGAGTTCTGTAAGTTGGCCTCAGGACACCAGCGCCCTCCTAACGCAGTCAGCATGGCGCAATCTTCTTCTTCTTTGGTGCACGGCTGGGTTGGAAGATAAACTGCTGCAGTCGGGGGGTCTTCAATGTCTGCTCCACTGCAGCTGGGAGTCCGCAACTGGAGGCCACGCAAGAACAGGTGACATGCTTCCAGGTCGGCTTCCCAGATCCGCTCCAGGCCTGGACAGCCACAGCTACAGAGAGGAGCAGGCCAGTGTGTTACCATAACATACCATATTATACAATGCAATGCAATATACAATAAACTTTATGATATGTGATATATGATATGATAAATATTAGGGAAAAAAACATGACACAACACCATGTGATGTGATATGGTACAATTAGAATTACAGTAAATTAATAATATGTTACAGTTAAACATACAACAAGGAGTTTTTAATTGGTTATGAAACCTCTAAATTTAATACTGAAGCCTCTATATGACTAACATAGGCAAACAACACCCTCAACAATTGCCCAAATCTATTTAGGTATTCTTAATGCCTGCCACTGGGTCAGATTTAGTCGGTTTCCCCTTGAAATTAGTGAAACGAGCCAGTAGAAACCTTACAGCTTTTGTCCAGAATCAACAGAAAATTCCATGTAGCTGTTTTAAACATGATGATGATGGTGATATGATATTTTTAACCATACTACACAGAAGTAGATATATTAGTGTGTATTAATTTGTATAGTCACATTTTGTTTGGACAACACTTGGACACAAGACAAGAAAAAACCCTTGCGTTACCACAACTTAAACAACGTATATAACATGTTGATTTGTGACCTTTAGAGGTGTTGATCAGTGTATTTTTTAAGAAGCAGGCAGCTGTTACCCTCTGCTTACAGTTCTTGCTATGCTATGCTATGAGAAGAGAGTGGTATTGACCTTTTGATCTAACTCTCAGCAAGAAAGTTGATTATATTTTCTCAAAATGCAGAACTATTGTTAGTTTTTATTCATCTAGAAAAATGCACTAGAAAAATGCTTAAGCATGTTGTGCATGTACATTTAATTCCCATTTATATGGTTAGATGATGATGATAAACATATAATTTGAAAAAACATCACGATCATACTAATATCTGTATAAAAGAACATCAAAAATAATGAAAAAATAGGTACAAATAGACGTAGGTAATAATTGCTGCATGATAACAGAGCACAATACTTGTACAGGCACAGCAAAGGACATCTTGAATAACATCTCTATAATAACGCACTGACAAAAGAGGGACAGGGGAGAAATGAATCATTCAAAGATTGTAATTCCATTGACAAAACGTAATGAGAGTGAATGTCCTCCTGGTAGGCTGCCCTTTTCTTCAAAGAGCTGCAGCAGAGAGAGCCTGGATGTGTTCATCTCTGCTGGGGTCACTGAGCAGGAGTTCAGGGTAAGGGCAAGAAGATTGCTTTTTGTTTATCTACTCATTGAGTCACAATCAGTCATCGTTCTTCACTCTGACCTTGGTGACATCCCAGATGCAAGCTCCCAGTGTAAAAACAGAAGACAGCAATTAAAGCAGCTACATGTGATTGAATATATTATTCAGAAAATGAGCAGTATGGTCACTGACCTGTGGAGGTCTCCGTTCATTGTTCCATTATTTAGGTTGAGCTGGTCACCGTGTGAAAGCAAATGTTTTTGTTTCACTGTACACCAGACACTTTATTGTATCAGGTCTTTTTGGGCTTGCCAGAAAAAGCTTTTCCATTTCCCTCAAATTAAATACTCCTCCTGACTCACAGCTGAGACCTCTGACCTTTAAAATATTCATATTTATTCCTCTTTTTCTTTCAGTGACCTTTAGATAACAAATCATTCCCAAAAAATTGTAGTCCCAGGTGACATTTTATGGAGCAAATCCATTGATCTTGTTGGAAATTCTGCCTTTAACATGGTTTAAGAGACACAGAAAAATGCAAAACCTCCAATAAAGAGCATAAATACTTCAAAGTAAGAAACACAATCTGCCTCTACTTAACAACTCAATACAAGCCTTGTTTCCAGGAATCCATCTTCTGTAAAGCGCAAACTAAAGCTGACAGGATGCAGGGACAAAGACTTGGGTTTTATACATACAGTATGAGATGCATCAAACATCTTAAAGGAATAAATGTCCTTAGTCGCTACGTACGTGCTGATTTCCAACCCAGGAGGAGATTCTCTGTCACAAGCACTAATTCTCACATTGACTGACTCAGAATGATAAAAATAAATTTCATACTCTAAGCACAAATATACTTTCATAAAAACCTCTATAAAGTATCCAGTATTTTTACCTAGAGAGTGCTTCCCTGTTGCGCAGTTAGACTTGAGAAATTGAGAAATACCCCATCACACATAAACAAATGCAAAGGCAAAATGCACCCAAACAATATTGTTTAATCTCTCCCTCTGTTCCTTCCCATCTCTCAGTGATGAGGCCCCCTGAAAATTGAATGCCACTTGTTTTCCAGCCCATCTCCTGCCTGAAAAGGCTGCCAACCTCTGTACCCTGCCAACGCACGCCTCTCAGCCGTTCTCTAACCTTCATTTGGCACACAGACAATAGAAAAATTGCTCTGCCCAGCCCCCCTGCCCTCGCCAATTCGCTACTCAACGCCGCTGCTTCTGAATTCTGCTATGGTGGGGACGCACCCACTGAGCCCTTTCATTGTTATTTGTCTCTTCTGAAGTGGAGAGGGACGCGCACACACACACACACACACACACACACACACACACACACACACACAGACAGATATGGGTGGGCACACATGTTACTCGCACACATACCCGTAATTCATCATTCTCTATGGGGATCAGTGTTGTACAATCATAAATTCCCCTAAAAATGTCAACGCTGGCCTCATCTATCGCAAAAGCTTCCCTTCAATGACAACCACAATTCATTACAAACAACTGGCATCGACATGATGGTTCTGTGTACTGAAAATGCACGCAGACAACACGTCAGCTCCTAAACACCCCTGTGATGGTGCCCGTCGGTATGAACTCCTCGTCCGGGGGTTAATTGGTGGCAGCCGCTCGGCCTGCCATCTAACAGTGGCAGGGTGTGGGTGTGCTGCTCTACTGATGGCCCAGTAATAAGAAGGAGAGACAGGCAGGCACACTCCTTCTACAGTCTCACAGCCCCCCTGTGGGACTGCTGACTGACAGGACTGCTCTTTCTCCTCAAGGCAATATGTACGCGCGCAGACAGCTACCGCGGAAGGATTATAAATATAACTGTTGAAAGAAGGAGCAGTGGTCCAGTCCTGCTGGTACCAGTAGGTTCTGCTAGACCTCTTGGGGGTTCACACACTGTCTGGCCAATTTTCTGAACTCTACCCAGCATCAGGCCATATGTTCAGCCAAGAACAGACAGACTGTGGAAAACAGCTCCTATCTTCAGTCACAGCTGGGTTTTTTTTTTTTTTTTTTTTTGCTATCTAAAGATCAGGCTATGACTTTGGGTTAAGTAAGCACCAACTCCCCAAGAAATGACTATCCTAAATAAAATAAAATGAATGCAACTTTTACCTACAATGAGCGCCTGTGATGTTTAGGACCCTTAAAAGCCATAAAGATGAGCATTCACACATTAGAAAGGAGATGGTAATGATGGTAAATCATGCAGCAACATCTCAAATAACACCAGCAGAGGAGAGGTGCTAATAATATGGTGAAATACAAGGTGGTGACTATTGGATGAGGTGTGATGGATGGTGGATGAACTGAACTGTTTGCAAGGTGGGTGGCTTGATGTCTGCGGAGGTTTTGACAGCAGCCAGCTGAGCAACTAAAGTCCCTTTGTTTCAAACACTTCACATTTCTCTCATGTACAGTCAAGATTTTGTACATAAACGTGATAATAGAGGTTTTTTTTCCACTCAGTTTCCCTCCTTAGACGCTCCCAGTGTGTCCTCAATTTTAACTAAGAGAACATGTCTTGTTGTATTGTAATGACTTCTACACCAGTTGCATTGTATCCATTAAATATGATAAATGAAATCCAAAAGAGTGCATAAATGTAGGAAAAATACGAGAAGCATTTCCTAACGAAACATCTACATAATGTATTAAACAACTGTGCGGTGCTGCTAATCTGAATAAAATGTTTTTTGTTCTGGTGACACACTTACAGCATCTGCGCTGCTCTAACATCCTGTTCTAGTCTTTAGCAAGGAAGAGATAATTGGTTTTTTCAACACCATCCGTCTCCACGGAGACCAGACATCTCACCAGTACTAATCTGCCTCTCTCCTCCCCTCCTCCCTTCTCCGCTCCTCACCTCCCATCACCAACCGCACTTCATCAACAGTAATGTACATTAGAGCTGACTGATAAAATTTACAGTGGATGACGGGTGTGTATTTGTGTGTGTGGGTGTGTGTGTATATATGTGCATGTGGGCACAACTGTCCATTCAGTCAAGGCAAATACGTGTCACTGTGCCAGACTGTGGAGCTGGAGGAAGCTACTGGTCATTGCCTAAAGCCAAAGATGTGCTTGTGATTTGATCTGGACCGCCTCTGGTTATGAAAGCTGATCCAAGGCTGGTGAGCCAATCTATTAATATAGGCTGAGGTGAGCAGGAAAATTAGTTTTCAGTACCCAATACCCAAGAAGGTGTCCTTTAATGTGATTTTTATTTCAATGGTGATGTGGTTAGATACATGTAATCTATATAATCAGCTACTCATGCAATAAAGTATCTATTAGTAAAACAAAAGGATAGGATCAGCAAACATAGGAACTCCATCAAAAAGGGGAGATACAAAGCACCCAGCAGGCAGAGGTTGTAGGGGATAAGCATTCATTTATACAGTTATTTAGAAAACAAAAAAGCAGGTGTGGTTAACAAATTGGCAGGCAGGGAGCGTCTAACAAATTACCCTATTGATCCAGCGTTATTGGATCTCAGCCCATAGTACAAACTAAAAGTCCTTGATTTTGATCATTCGTATGACTGAAACTAAAATTAAATTCGGTTCTTGTTTTCTGGATGGTATTTTGTGACTGAGATGCTTTTGGCTGTTATTTATACTGTTAATATAAAAATGTATAGAAACTACTGTTTTTGTAAGCCTGATGTTAGTAATGGAAATATTTTTAGCTTTCTTGTAGTACTTGAACACTGAAGCGGCTAAATTAGAGTTTGAGACCGCTGCTTTAAAGGCTCGCCATCTACTGTTTGTGTCTGCCTCCTTGTAGTGAATGTACAGGCTGTGCTTTTACCCATTTTGTATCCTGACAGATTCCTCTTCCAGTAAGTCAGCTAGTAGTTGCCAAGTTGTATTTTCCTATTTTTCCCATTAGACACATGGCACAGACAGGTACTCTCTCTCTGAAACTCCCTCTGAAAAATCAAACAAACAAAACACAAAGCAGCCATCTGCCCTATTGACAGAAAAGGTCCAAAGGCATGCTTCCCTGCTGGGCACTGAGATCGCAACCATGTTGCTCCTTGACCACGCAGAGCCCCAGCCTGTGCATCCTTCAAAAACAAACAGCCCTGTGTGACTGACTCCTGGCTCCCATCCAAAGAGGTGACCCTGCCTCTCCAAGGATGCGACATAGAAAGTTTACACCCTCACACACTACACACAGAGACAGGGGTCAAGCAGACACACACTGTCTCTGACAATATAGGCTTTTCCTGGCTCAAAATAAGCCCAAGCGGCCTAACCTTCTCCCTCCGAACACTTAAAGCCAGCCCCTCGCAGTTGTATGCCCCCACCAACCAGTCAAGATGCAGTTTACATCCATGTTCATTCCAGATGTTTGGATCTTGCCTCTTTCTTTCTGTCTTTCGTTCTTGCTCTGTCCTCTTCCAGGCCTCGATGACAGAGTGGAGGTTGTGTGGCTCAGGGTCTTTTTGGTGACATGTGGGGTTTCTCATTGTCCTCCCAGATCCATTCTTCATGTATATTTACAGTATGTCATATTTTCACATTTGTTCCTGAGGTTTCTTCTATTTTGCCCATTAATGGGAGCTCATCCGAGTCGAGGGTCTAAGGATAGTGGATGTTGAGGCAAATTTATTATGTGTGACACATATAGAGATATATAAAATTGATTTATTTTGACTTAAGCTTTGTTGTTCTTGTTCTGCTGTATGTCTATAAGTGTGTAAGTGCATTGAGAGAAACAACAGAGTCACATTCCTTGTATGGGTTCACATGCTTGGCCAATAAATCTGATTCTCACAGAACGCATTTTTAGTCATGACAGCAGACAATGCTTTAAATGAGGATGTTGCTGCAAAGAAGCTACAGATATTCATGTTCAATTTTGTCATAATTAGCAAATTACTGTATGCTAAAAACATGTGTTCTGAAGTCACAGTGACCTTGACCTTTGACCACCAAATTCTAATCACTTCTTTCTTAAGTGCAAGTGGACATTGATGCCAAAATGGAAGAGATTCCCTCAAGGCGTTCCTGAGATAGTGTGTTCATGAGAATAGGACGGATGGACAACTCGCAAACATAATGTCTCCGGCCGTGGCTGTTGCCCGGAAGACACTGAGTGGAAAGCAAAGCTCATATGGTGTACACAAAAACATTACCAGCTCTATTCATCCATCTGTAAAACACAAATGGTTCCAAAATGCAGCAGAATAAGAGCCGATCGAATCGCAGCTGCTCGGTGCTGCCTGTGTGCTGAGGAGATGAGCTTTAATCTCCATAAAGAAGCATGAACAGGCGTATGGTGCCGACACTTGACTGGGTTCCACACCCTCTGCTAGAAAAAGTCAGCCACTCAGCACATCACAATCCCGTTGTGTAACTGTCAGGCGCGCTGGGCGACCACCCGCAACACAACAGTCTTCTCCTCAGTGATTTAGGAGCTCCGAGACGTAAATAAAAACAGTGAAACAGACAGAAAAAGATATTGTTTTGTCTAAAATGATTTACACAGACGAGAGAAAAAAGGTGGAAACTGAACTGATGTGGAGGTATAAAAAAATAAAGGTACAGAAAATATGTGAGAAGGTGGGAAGAGGAAGACAAATTGCGTAGGTGTGAGACGGAGTGAAATGTGAGAAAGGGGCTCTGGGAGACAACGGCATAAGAAAAAAGGTGTGAGTGCATGATGTGGCGGGTGAGGTGATGTATTGGAGAGACGGTGCTGTGGTTAGAGGACAACAGAGGTGAGAGGAAATTCCTTGGAGGCTGTTGCTCTGCTCATGTCTCTTTGTTTGGTTTTACTCCTGTGGAATATTGAGTCTCCGTGTCAGCACTAAAAGAGAGAGACAGCACAAAACACTCTTACCTGTGCAATCTGTCCTCCAGTAGCTTGATATACTTGGCCGTGTTCTCTTTCAGACGGCTTTCTGTAAGGATAGAGAACAACAGCTTGTTACTTACACTTCATTTACTACTTTTATTAGTCATGATTGGGTAACCTAGCAACAAATCCCAGCTCTAGCACCATTAAAACTGACTTGTCATTAGCTATATGGTACATGCGGTCTGAAAGGTAAGTAGTCATCACAGTTGGTGACGGCATTGTGCTGAGAAACTGCAACAGTACAGTTCAGTGCAAAGGCCCAGCTGGCTCTTTCTTAAGACAAATACACAATTGAAGCATCATTCCCACTGCTCTGAGAAAAGATAAAATCGGAGACGGCCTGGGGATAAAAGGGGATTTTATCATGGCATAGGTCCTCATATCCTGCCAGATTTTCTGTGGGGCATGAAGTTGGATGGATAGCTTATGTTGCTTCCTGAGCCCTTCTGCCAGCAGTGAGCTGTGCCTGAGGAGGCAGACGCAGGCTGGCTAAGCGTTAGTCGGGATGGAGAGGAGGGCAATCTGAGTGCCGTTAATGAGCTCATGTATGAAACATGAGAATATGCCCCCCGCAGCAGAAGATCTTTGAACACAATAGGATGCACTTATATCAAATTGCGCTGCATATATATGTGCACACAAGCTATAAGGTTCAATATGACCCTCCTCCTTCCCCCACTGAAATACACACACACCCACACACACACAAAGCTGGTCTCATATATCTGCTCATCATTACATCTGTACAACTCAGCAACCAGTCAGAAACAGCTCTTTCCCACACTCTTCTGCAGTGGGGGTCCATACCACCAAAGAGGTCACAAGATAAATCACAGAGGTCATTAAATGATTAAAAGGATAAGAAAGAAACACTCTGCAACACACAATAATGTATATTATTTCAGACTAGTTATTACTATTCTCTCGCAGAAATACTAGCTACTTTTCTTGTAAAATATTAATATTAAATAATCTTAGAAGGGAAAGTAACTAAATTGGTTAAAGAAATAGTTTCATAGCTGTGAAATGCAGAGCCAGATTAAAAGGTTGATTCCACTGTCATGTCTGTACATTAATTATGAAGCTACAATCAGCAGCTCATTATCTTAGCTTAGCATATAGACTGGAAATAGGGGGAAACAGTTAGCCTGGTGCTGTCCAAACAAAATCTGCCTACCAGCACCTCTAAAGCTCACAATTTAACACACGTCATCTCTTGTTTGCAAGAAATAAACCTACACTCTACACACTTTGAACAAACAAGTTAATTGTTGCTATACTAAACTAATCGGCTGCTGGTGGTAGTGTTTTCAAACTTCTCCTTTAACTCACATCAAGAACAATATTTCCCAAAATGTGAAATAGAGACATTATTGGAGTACATAAACCTATGAAGAAGGGACACAAGTAGACGTTGCTTCACTTTAAGGAAACACAAGCCAAAAAGAGTTGAAAACTACTCTAATGTAATGCCACTTAGATTGTTGCTCACATTGACTAGATCTCACGCAGAGACAAAGTCACCTAATTGGGTGCTCTGAATCACACAGAAGTTTGAAATATAATTTGTATCATTGTCTTGATGGCGGTTATTAGACAGCCTCAGTGCCAGGATGAGACAAGCTGGGGGCTGGCACAGCGGGTAGAAAAGGAAAATATCTGAGACTAAGTGGCTGTGGCACACACATACACACACATACACATACACACTCTTACACACACCGATTCTTGTCCATACTTTGAGGGAGAAATGAGATGGAGATAGTAAGGCTATTTATGGGGGTTGCATGTGTGTGTCACAGAAAGAGAGATCTTGCCTGAGAGTCGTTTTTATTCAAAGTGGCCAAATCTGCTCAATCAGAGGCAAGAGGGAGGACGCTGAAGTAGCTATCACATATCTGGTGCGCAGATCTGGTGTATGTGGACCAGACAGCTCACTTACCACCCCCCTAATTGCTATGTGAGATCCTATCCTACCTGACAGAGTTTCCCTTGTCAACTTCCATTCATGCCGGCTCCGTTAAGCCGCGTGCAAGGAGATAGCCACTAAATAATACATGGGGGGGCATTAAGCCTGACTTCAGATGGCACAGAGCATGTACACATGCAAGATGACAAAGTAGACTGTGGCTCGAAACAAGAGCAAGAGCCAGATTTAAAGATGATATACTGCGAGGAATAGGAACAGTCAATATAAAATGGCAGAAGAAGGTAAAAAGATAAAGACATGAGTGTTAACTTAATATTTCTATCTACGCTGATACTGTCATAGGCAGAGGAGAGTCAGTATGCCATGCTGTCGCCATGCCAACCGGTGGCAAAACTAGTGAGCCTTTTCGGGCGTGACAGATGAAAATAATCTTTTCTTTATAGAATGGGACAAGACATCAAGCAGCAGAGCCTCCTCCTGCGCTGAGTGGAACCAGAGCACTGGGTGATATTACCAATTCCTGTAAGTCTGCGGGAGGCTGCTGTCATTGGCAGGCCATGCGAATAAAATCGGCACTAAAAAGCCCATAAAGAAGAGAGCCACTCTGTTAGTCCCTGATACATGCGGCAGTATATTTGGTGTTGAAGGAACCTCACAAAGGCGTTCACAGAGCCGGCATTGGAAAATTCATGAGCTCAGCCTCCCGTGATCTCAGCAGGCGCTAAACATCACTGATTGCTGCCAAGGACCGCGGCCAAAATCGAAGAGGCCATTCATTCTTAATAAAAAGAACTGAGACACTATTGAAAGAGGATGAGAATGTGCTACTGGATGTTGCAAAGAGGCCATTTGCTTCATATAGGTCAAGATACTCATTCATTAGTCTAATGGAGAAATAATTACTTCAGCTAAATAGATGTAAAGTTGATAAAAATGATGAATCTGATGATTAGAATCAGTCGTGTAGAAGCAAACAGAGCAGACAGTTCCCGATGATGAAGTTATGGGCTTTAATGAGCCTGCAGAAGTTAACGATGGCAAGGTGTTTGGATTTGCTGCTGCATTATGAGCATTTGAGCAGCTCTCTAATTGAAAGTGAATAATGCAGTAATTTCTTCATTGCCTTGTAACAATAAAAGCACCCAACATCTGTGAGGCCTTCGTGTTGTCAAACCAATTAGAGGCGGCTCCGTGCTAACACAGCACCCCGGATATGCGAGCTATAAAAGCCTGTGAATAATAAGGCAGAAGAGAAATTGTGTGTCTTTGTAATTGAGTTGAAGGCACCGACTGTGATTAATGTGTTTAAGCTCAGCTCGGGCTGTTTGAGTGCAACGGCACTGCAGGTACCATAAACACACAGTCAGCATATGTAGACACTCACATTGTATAAAAAGTGTGTGAACGTAACAGCAGCCCAGCAGCATAGCTAATGAAGGAAGAGAGACAGGCTGATATCTCAGACAGACACTCAATAACCCATGATGCTTTAAGGCTCTGGGATCACAAAGCGTTGCAGTACACAGATTGCAGCTGGCACCGCGTAACATATTGTGGGGCTCTGCAAGAATACCCAACAAAAGGAATCATTTGACAAAAAATTGGCTGTGTGTACAAAATCTGTGCTTGAGTGGATATATACATATTTCAGTTCTGGGCGCTGAATTGCCCTGACTGAAATGTTAGACATGCTCACAGTCGTTATGACTCAGTAAACAGAGTTTGTTTAGAGGAGACTCAAAACTGACTTTGTGCTGGGGTACAAAATAAACTTTTTTTAGATGACTGAATCTGGGAAGCACTACAAAGAGGAACTCACCTAAACTGTGTGGCCATAAAAGCTCTACAACACCCTCAACAGCTCACCTGCTCACATTCCTGCTCCATTAAACTGGTATCTTATTATTTCCTCCGTATCCTTTGGGAAGCTGAATTAGCACCTGGCTAATACATTTTCCGAAAAAACACATTTCTGAATTTGTCACCTATGTTTATTTGGGGTCTTTTCCAATATTTATATATGTGATTGTTTACAATTGTCAGCATATATTTATACCACCCCTTAACATCTCCATGCTGCCCTTTTGCCAACCCCATGAGTACTTTCTCTGGATCCACCTCTGGATGATGGCACCAGATAGAAAGTCAATCCATTCAGGAGTTGTTGAGCTATTTTAGTCTGGACCAAAGTGGTGGACTGACATTGCTATCCCTAGAGCCATGCTGCCAGCATAGCTAAAAACAAACAGCTGTAAACAACATTTTTGAGCTTTATATTCTTTTCAGTGCACCTAAAGCTGATATAACCCATCCAACTCTATTAACTCAATCTCCTTTTGAGTGGATGGATTTAAAGGTCCAGTGTGTAACAATAATGAGGATCTATTGGCAGAAATGGAATATAATATTCACGTGTTTTATGTGTATAATCACCTAAATGTAGAAATCGTTATGTTTTTGTTACCTTAGAATGAGCCATTTTTATCTACAGTTGTCGTGGGTCATCTTCCATGAAGTCTGCCATGTTGTTTCTATCGTAGCCCAGAACGGGCAAACCAAACACTGGCTCTAGATAGGACCTTTCGCTTTTCACAGTCCACCTTCCCAGGTTGTCAAATACAAACGTGAGCGGTGTACAGTTAGTTGCAATCTGCAGCTTCACCGCTAGACGACACTAAATCCTCCACATTGGTCCTTCAAAGAAAGGAAATTGATTGATGAGTGGTGGGAGTTGTAGTGGTACCTCAATCAACTTCCCCTTTGTTTTTGCAGGAATTCTTATGAGTATGGACGCAATAACACTCCTGACAAACTAACAATGGAATGACATCCTCTGCTGAATCACAGGAAAAATGAATAATGCCAAAACTTCAGAGACAAAAACCAGGAAACATTCTCCCAGGCCCACTTAACCACTACACCACTCTCAATCATTCAGACACTCTTCAGGAGAAGAGCTGTCATACGTTCCATCATGTTCTCAACAGAAGCACCCTGAAAGAGGCAGAGTCATGAATAAATCATATATGTCCTGGCCTTTACTATTGGCACTCCATTATTGGGAAATTGCATGTGTTTAATAATACAGAGTGATGGTATTTTTGATGTACACTTCAGATACTGGACTGGTATGCACAGTTAAAGCTTGGACTGGATGGGCTCCCAAATCCTGCCACGGAGAAGGTGATGCTATAGTATGAAGAAAAAAATAGATGCTGGAGATTCTACAAACACACTTAATTAAACATGTTCCAGTGGAGGCATGTGGAGAAGACAACTTCTATCTACTATCTTTATCACAGATAGCCAAATTACCTGACTGCTACAGAATATACCTCCTGCATACTAACAACAGCATTAAATAAGCATTACTCGAATTCTTTGATAAATCAAGAGGAACACACACTGACACTGCCACCACATTTGAATGTCCTCACTCCTGGGGGTCATTTACTCAGCTCTTCAATTATTTATTTGTAAATTTAGTATCACTCCAGATCTCTCTTGGGGACAAAATTATACTCTCAGCAGGGAATCAAACCTCCGGCTATAATGGGTTTAGTATTCATCAGCACTCGTGCCAATGGCAATTAGGAACGTAATGGCTCCCAGGCCAAACCCCCCCCCCCGCGCCACACCACGATGTACGCCGGGCGGAGACGCTCAACAAGCTGTGTAGCGTATAGATTTTGTCAAGGTGTCAGCTGAACTATGCGTTGCTTTAAAGCTCATGCCACGACAATAGGCCTTTTCAAGAACAGGCGTATGATTTTCCTGTTATAAGATGACACTAGTGTCATTAGCATGTGCTAGAAATGCCTCAGAAACCAAAAGGATGGCCATCTTGACTTTGAAGTAGACTGTAATTTTTAATCCCCTCCAGCTAAAGAAATGGTAATGTGCTGTTTGTGGGCTATCAGTTTCCAGCTAGCGTGTGCCAGCCCCTTATTACCAAATAGGATGACAGTTTAATGAGCCCCTTGCTTGGTGTCAGCAACACATTGTGAAATTGTGCCTGCTGCCATATTGTGTGCGCCCACTTGAACATTTGAGCAAGCCGCACAACCAATCATTAACTTGCCGTCTCTTCCCACATTTGTGACGTGTTACTCACCTGATTCCCGTTCCTTTGTTTAGCCTGAGCATTTGCATGTCACTGGTTTCCCAGCCTCCGTGTCCCTGAGAGCTGCATTATTCTATGTGAGGCACGCAAGTGTATTTAGGATGCTGGGGTGAACTTGAACATGTCTTTGGTGGTTGTCAGGGGAGAGATTAATGCTATCCCTTGCTATTTAGCAAGTAAAGGTGTTTGGGGCTGTATTTCAGCAGCAGAAAATCAGGCAGGTGACTGAGTTTCTTGCTCATAGGTGAAAGAAAAAGGAAAATAATATATTTAGCAAGTAAAATAAATTGGTTTCTAAAACAATAATATAAAATCATGGACCTTACAACAAAAATATCTATATAAGTCCATGCATTACCATAAACCCAATAACATATCAGCCTAACAGCAACAATGAAAGGGTGCCCCCTAGTGACAGCAGAGGGTGCATTCAAGACAAGACAATAGGTCGGCACTGATGGTGTTGCTGCAGCCATAGGCCTTAATGATATACATAACATCGTATGTTAGACGGCTGATTGCACGCCTTGGGGTTGCAGCAGGAGCCCCGTCCAGAACTCCAGTCTCTGGTCTTTCACTACCCGCTCTGCTCTCGTCACCTCAGCGCTCCCCTTCCCTTTCTGCGCTCCCGTCTCAGTGCCTCAGAGAGTGAAGTAAGTGACCTTTTTTAGAAATCTCCCTGTGACTGATGGACTAGAGAGAGTAGCACTGCAGGTGGTGCCGTCAAAATCCATTTATCTCTCTGCCAGTGCCAGGAGGCCAAACCAATCTAACCCGCTCCGCCCCCAATAAAAAGCAAGCCCCTTCTTTAAGCAGAATTCAGATCTCTTCTAGTTGGAGAGCATGCAAGCGCTGATACATCATGTCCGCACTGAGTGGATTGGAGGTAATTGGCTACTTCACACAATCTAAAGCTCATCTCCCCTGCACTCCCCACCCCATCACCCCTCACCCTGCTCTTAACAACTGCCAATCCCGCTGCTAACTCATTTGGTGCCAAGTCCCCACCGACAGCAGATCACTTCTCCTTCATTTGGGAGAAAAGTCATCGTCCATTGATGTCTTCCCAGCATGGAGCAACATCAAGAGAGGACTTCTCTTTCAGAGAGCTCTCATGTTTCACATTTGAATTGATATTTGAAAGCTGTACTCACAGAGAAAGAGAGGTACCTTTCAAAAATACAACAAACGTTTCCTGGTCTCAGATGGTAGGTGAGTGTTCTTTCAGATAACATGGATTTAATTAAATATTTTTTACATAGTTATTTAAAGCTGGAGTAATCAATATTTTTATATTAAAAATGGCACAAATGACTATGTGCAAGGTGAAAGGGGTCGCTCATAGTGAGGAATACACAGAGAAATATTACCGCCTTAGCTCTACAGAGAGCGTTGTAGTATCTTTCAGCTCATTGTTTTGGTTTTACATCCAGCAACTTGATTTGCTTCACTCTTATTGCTCTCATCAGTGTTGTTTCCAAATGCAACAGGCACCTGTTTTTCAGCAAAAAAAACACAGTGTACACTACTGGCCCAGCACCAAATGGCATACAGACACACTAGCTACTAGCTGGTGAACATAGTGGACCATTTAGTTGCTTAAGAGCCAGATGTTTCCCTCATGAAACCAAAAATAGAGCTAAACGCAAAGTGAATATTGGACTTACATTCACAGGTGGCCAGAAACACGACTTCGAGTGAATGATAACACCCTCGACATGTCAACTTAAAAGGTGTATATGTCAGTGTTGTGTTTACAGCTTGTTTGCCCCCAAATCAGTTCAATGTAGATTGAAAGGGGCAAAGATCATTTATTGATTGCCCCAAAAATGGCTAGAGAGTTAGGCTGCTGTTTGTGGGCAGGAGGAATACAGAACAGCACACCACTATCATCTTCACCATTTCTGTCATGATTCTCTGGGAAAGGGATCAACTATGGATAATTATGTTGAGAAGATTATTACCATAATTACATGTGTTAAAACAGCATACAAGTATAAATATGATAATGTTAACAAGTATAAAATGTAAAAATAAATAATCAAAATGTAAATTTACGTGACCTCACCATAATGACTAGACTCCAGGAAGTTACAGTACCAAATATAACACATCATAAAAACCCAATTTGTACACATGTAGGTTTTTGTATAGATTAAACAAACAAGATATAACATCTTTATTTTCGAGCTTTAGAGGTGTCCGTGGGCAGATTTTGTTTTATTTGGACAGGCTAGCTGTTTCCAGTCTTTATTTTAAACTAAGCAAACCTATTAGGGTGCTAGCGGTAGCTTCCTATCTAATGGACAGATAAAGAGTGGTACCTATCTTCTCCTCAGCATGTCAAACTATTCATTTAAGTTATGTAAATGTAACTACAAATATCTTTAAAGCTGCTGATAGCCATTACTGAGAATCTTTTGTGCCCTTAGAAAGTCTTTATTACAGTAATGAGGGTGATTTGTTGCTTTCAGCTCTATCATATTGCCCACAGCAGCCCAGCTTCTCCCCTGGGATGAAGGCAGTACATGTTATCTTAATGTAGACTGGCTTCAATGACTCACCGTGCTGGGCCTCCTTCTGCTCCAAGTCCTGCCTGAGCTGCTGTTGCTGCTCCTTCATCCTGGCCAGCTCCTGGCTGCTCCCCGAGCTGAGGCTGTGCAGCCTCTTGGCCAGAGCCTCCAGTCGATCGCGCTCCAGGTACACCGCCTTCATCTCATCCTTCAGCTCTTTGGCACTGCTGAAGTCATTACCTGCACCGGCGCACCACAGGAGGACATTAAGCCTTACACCACCCATTAATGAGCGTCTCGATCATTAATAGCGCCATTACGTGAGGCTAATGGTGAGCGATTCAAGTAAATGAGGTAAATAAAAGAAAAGTGAAGGGTTGTATTGGGGTGTGGTTGAGTGGAGAGTTACCTGAGATGGCTGCCAGCTTGGCTTCATGCAGTGCCAAAAGCTGAGTTTCAGTCTCGCTGACTTTCCTCCTCAGGCTGCTGCCCAGCCTCTGACTCATGACCACCTGGGGAAAAGAAGGAGAAGAAGAAGAGGAGGAGAGAAAAGTGGGAGGGGGGAGGGAGGGTGGTAACTAACAAAACCTTTGCAGACACATGGATCCCACAGGATGCATAGCTCATTTCCAATTCCACTTTCATTTTCTTTTTGACACTCATTCTTACAAGACCTTACCGATTCATTTCCGTCCTTCTGTGTTCGCCCTGCTTTGAATACACAGTAGAGCATCAACGCCGGTGTGTTACCTTGTCTATAACCTTTAGAAAGAAAGAGAGTGTGTCTCCTTTCACATGGACAGACAGGGAAATGTGAAATCTCCATAAAAGATGCCATTAGAATGTCAGAGAGGAAAAAGGCCCTGAATGTCACAGGCCTGATGGGGATGCAGCACCTCAGCTCTGCAGTATTCACAGAGGAGTTGATGGCTTCAGATACAGCCGGCCAGGCCCCCCTCTGCCCTCACTTTGCCCTTTAAACCTCTGTTCTTTCCAATGTATTCACTTTGAGTTACAGCCAGATACAATCCCCATCATGCGCTTCCTTCTTTTGAGGAACTATTTTCATCACTCAAAGGGATGTAGAGTTGGATTTTCTGACGCATTTTCTTCTTGAATCTGACACAGTTTTGTGCAACACTTTGAAAGGGCTGTCAAATAGGTTGGTATTTCTGAGGCAGAACATCTCCAGGGAGTTTTCTTCCAACAGAAAATGTAGAAAACAGTTTTTTGAAAACAGGCTTGCATAATTTTATTTCACACATTACATGAACTGGAAACTGCTCTGGAGTGCTTTTCAAACTGTAGAAATTCTGACATTGGTGATTAAATTTCAAGCCATCGTGCTATTTGTCAATTTTGAAAAAGTCAATAGAGAAAGTGAAAGTTTCTTTCATGCCAGGCAATCATTTTGTCACAGCAGGTGTGCCATTTTCCACATGGTGGATACCTCACGTAGGAACAAAACTTTTCATTCCAACTTAACTGATTGTGCTGAAAGTGTCTCTTTGTGGACAGCCTATATATTCCTTTGAGGTGCAGTTGCACCATCAACCAACCAGTTAATGATAGCTTTCTAAAGGACACAGTAACATTAAAGAGGTCTTTTTCAAGCCTCTTGTCCCCTGCTGTGCCTCTCTCCCTCTATCCTTAAACCACTATTTCTTAAAGATTTCTGCTGCTTCTGGCTTCTTTCCAGCAGCAGAGATCCACGCATAGAGATCAGTGAGAGGGAACAGCAAACCCCTGAGAAGGAAGGGGGAACTCCAGAGACACACAGCACATACAAAGGGAAGCAAGCAAAGCCTTTCACACATAGGAATACACCAGTGACACGCATAGAAAACCCACCAAAGCCATGCTAGCGAAACAGATATTTCACATACGTAGTACACATATATCAATGGATTTTACTGACCATTGTCAGCAAAATAACAACTACAACCATTAATTCACTATAAATTCCAAACTTTACTTATTTAGTTGCTTATTTCTCATCAGAAACAGACAGAAAATCCTACATTTGTTTTTTTTCTACAGAGAGGATTTTTTCAAAACAGCATTTCTTGCATGACTCAACTCGACTATGGAGAGTTCACTGCTTTGTCAAATTGAAATAAGCACATGAATACAGACACTGACATTTTATATGCGTATATAACACTCTGGAGCCTGTACACAGTACATACTTTCTATTTAGACTACTCATTAGATCTTCATACACATTCAGTTACTGTTGACATGCTGGGGGAGGCTGAGCTGTAATGGACTAAATCAGGGTCAGAGGAACAGTGGCTTACTTTAGCAGTAGCTTCCTTGATGGACAGATTCAGTGCCTGCTCCTGCTCCTGGAGTCTGCAAAAAGGAAATGAAAATGTTAGTGCAGCACTGAAAGTAATTTCTTTATTTTGAGGGCTTCAAGTGAAATCAATAAATGTCAAAGAGAGGGCGAGAGAGGGTTCACCAGTACTCATCTGGCTGCAAAACACAGAGTGGTTAATAAGCTATCAAGAGACTGCATTTTTTTATAATGTTTATAAAGGAATGCCTTAAAAGATCTTGTCCACTGGATAAGAGCAAAAAAGTCAGCAGTAATTATTCACTGATAAGTCTACATCCTTCCACCCGCAGTGGATACTGTCTAGTAGGACATAAAAGGCTGATTCAGACTGATATTGTGTGCTAACATGAAAGCATAGGGTCTGTACTTTGTGACCTTTGTGAGAACCAAAAGTCAAACCAGTGATGTTTAGGCATTTCTGATTAATTCAAAGGTCCTGTGTGTTTTAGGAGGATGATGCATTTTCGTTATCTTAGAATGAGACGTTTTTATCTACTGCTTCCTTCAATGGAGGCCGCCATGTTGAACCTCCATCTCTTAAAATGACAATCAAAAATGTTACAGATGATTTTTCTGATCAATTTAAGTTCAATATTTTACTTGCTTTGAGAGTTAAAAGATTGACACCACTCGATCACTAACTAGCTTAGCTTAGCATTAAGACTGGAAACAGCTGGAAATACTTTATGTCTTGTTTGTCGGTACAAAATGGAAGAGTAAAAATTACAATCTGTGGTTTTATTAGGAGATCATTTCTTGGCTGGTTGCAGTGATCTCCTACCTGCTTTGTTTTGTATTGAACAAATGTAACTATTCCAGTTCATATAGGTGTACACTGAGAAGTCCTGCCTGTTGTTCATTATCCAGTAACTGTTACCGTCTGTAATTAATCATTTCTAAATGCAAACTGAGATACTACTGTTTCTAAAAGCTCTTTTTAAAAATCATTTTTGTGTTCAAGAGGATAAAACTTTTGGGAAAGCATCAAAACTATTCTGTGAGAGGATTTGTTTCTTACATTTAAAACTGATCTGTCAAATACAGCATACAGCTGACTTAGACTTATATTGATCTTACAATGATGGCAACCTAAATTTTCATGATAACAAAAACAGAAAATATATAGATTTAATTTATTAGTTTTCATTAACTGTCTAGGTGAACATCTCAGATATCAAGGGTAAACATATCATCAGTAATGTTATTACTGTGCATGTGTGTAAACATGCAAACAGGACAAACCATTAAGGTCACATTATTGGGTGACAGAGATATAAATCAATTAGTAGATGGAAAAAAATGAGCATGAAATCCATTATCCACAACACAGTCACCTTGAGACAGTCCCAATCGTCTCATATCACAAAAATCAGTATGCCCTTTTTGTGTTATTCAAGCTGATATTCAGGGTGAGTCAGAGTAAAATGTTGTCTCTGAACATCAGTATAACAGCACCCTTTTTTTTTAGGGATGCAGCTACTCTGGATAGATTTCTTTAATCCAGTACCCGTAAGGAAACCTTGATATGAGAAAGAAAATGCCCTGTGTTATTTGGAAAGGGAACTGCGACACAATGACCCAAAGCAAGCCACCCGGAGATGTGCAGCTGAATATCCAATCTGAGGTTGCAATTTCAATCAGTAGCGGGTATAAACGCGTTCCAGTTGGGGTGAGAATATGTTAGATATCAAATTATGCTAGTGATGGTGGGTCACGCCATCGAGAAGGCGATAAGTACAATTTACATGTCTTTCTAACGAGTGGCAAGACAGAGAGGCTTTCCACAGTGCTCCCTCTCAAGCTATTAACTTCAGAGGATATGATGCAAAGTAATCATTTGCATCTGAGAAAAACCATTAAAATTCAAAGCAAGTTCAAGCAGGTGTGAGAGAAGAGGATTGAGGGCACAGGGGATGCGGGGAATAAAGAAAAAGTAGTTTGGCTGCTTGATAGATCCTCTCTGAAGCTGAAAATAAATAAATCAGTCCTCATAAAGTCGTACAAATTATTGGATTGCAATACATTCATTTGGCAGGCTCTTTTGTCGAATTACAATCAGCGCATTCAACCTTCATAGTCACAAGAGCTACATTCTTGTACGTAAAAATGCTACATCTGTATTTCTTTCTTCAGTTGTCAAGCTCTTCCGTGCAGTTATTGGAGATGTTAATTGGGTTGAAACACGATGGTACTCAGTTGTACTTTCTTGGCGCGAGATAAGACGATCCTGCTGCCAGATTTATTCAAAATGCCACTTTGTTTGTCTGAGGAATGAATGAAGCTGGGAGGCAAAGATTTAGTGAAATAGAGAATCTGCACTGACACATCCTCTTCCAAACGAGCCAATTTAATGATAAGAAAATACGTGCCATGATACAGGGAAAACATTCATGGACTGATGGTTGTTGTTGTGTCACTGCCACTGGCGGCTCTCTAGCAGCCCCAACTGGTGACTGACAGCACTGCTGGGACTGTGAGAATGATCCTCAGATTGCATGATAAGGTTTAGTGCTTGTTAACCTATGCTAAGCTAATTCTTTATACTAAAAACACAAATGGACCAGAACACTGCATTTTAAATGTAAAAGTTTTTATTTTACAGCTGTTCTCTGCCACTGATGACAAATGAACAGGGGGGGCAACAGTAATTGTACTGCTAACTAAAAACAAAACATGACTTTCAGTTGTTGTTCAGCTATTTGAGACATTTGATTCTTTGTATTCCACAGATCTTTTTTTAAATTCACTGATACAAATATTTCCAAATTTTGCTATATTATCATAATCATATCAATCAATAATAAGTCTCTCTAATGTGTCTCTCTTTTAAGGAAAACTCAGGTAAAATCAGAAACATAAGAAGGGCATCTATCTCTTAAAATGTTTTATGTACTTGTTGTATGTTACCAGCCTACTTAATCAGTGTCCTTCAGGTTACAATAAAATCTCCTTCTGCATTCGAGTTAAAGATATAATATGTAACATTTCCACATTACAATCTCTATAAACACTAGACCTATGTTATATATTTTGTTGGGTTGTGTACTTGTGTTCCAACAATGTTCAAACCCAGAGAAATCTGTCATATTATTCCAGTAAGAGTGCGTTTCGCCCGTCTACTGCATAATATCTACTTTCCTCATGCATCAGCTTTGTGGTTGTCATACATTTATTTTTTATCCAGTTTTAAGCCATGTTTTTCCCATACACTTTTTAGATCTTGGTGATTTTTAACTATATATTTTAATCAGATGAAGATTTTAGTCATTGGACGTCTGGATCGTAAGTTATCCTGACAGGACCCCTTTTTTAAGGTGAAACTGCTTTATTCTGTGTTGTTTAAAGATGATGCAGTGATGCATGCGATGTTTAAAGAACTGGTCATTAATAATTGATAATACAAATGTTTGTGTTTCTTTTTCACTGTACAAACTCAGTTCAGTCAGCCAACTCACGTTTGAAATGTTTATTACAGCAGTATAGCATATTTAGATTTTGGTGTCTAGGCTCTGATCTCACTCCCCGCAGATATGTTTACATAGAGAAATTGGGGAGTGATGCGCAAATACCTTAACCCCCAGTCGGAGCCTACAGGTGGATGCTGGGGTGGTGGTGGGGCTTACAGCGCAGCAGGCAGCCATAGCTTACAGAGTAGCAGCAGCAATACGGATGCAGGGCAACAGCGGCATTGACAGAGCAGAGGGAGAGCTGGGAAATTGTGCAGTTTAAATAGACTGCCAGATTGGAAGGGTGTGCTTGGTTAGTGATTATGGAATAAGGCATGTCATGTGTGTAATCAGCGCAGCTCGAGTTGACTGCCTGAACTAGCTCGCAGGCTTCGCTCCATTAGTTAGGGGACTGCAGCTCTTTAATGTTTTGGGATGAGATGCGAGCTAAGAACAAACAAATGCAGTGATAGAGGGAAAGTTGTTGTTGTTGATGCTTGTATAGTTGTTGCATTTGTTTGCTGTTTGATAACGTAATGGTTTCTAAGTTTCCTGTCCACTACAACCCATCAAAACCTCCCTGATCTAGACTGTGAGCGTATATGTGAGGACAGGAAGAACCATCACAACAAGGTGTAAGATGGAAACATCTAGGGTGTGAAAATGTTTCTTCAAAGAACACTGTGTAGAAGTGTAATTTGAATTTACATAGATTTGCACATTTTCTTAACTTTGTTGAGGCACAAATGCCTTCTGGACGGCAAAAGCCCATAATATGTCCAAAGACCTGCAGTAAATGTGTATATTTCCCTAAATTAAGTCCTGTGCCAAGGATCAGTCAGGCTGATTAACTCACGACCAAGAGATTTTTATGGAGCCTAATACTTCACTAATACTGAGAAAAACAAAATAACCTGAGTCTGAGAGTCTCATGCAACCATTCTAATGGGAATAAAGCATTTATATGAAATATGTTAAGAAAGAACAATAATAAAATAATAAAAAACATTTGGTGAAATATTCTGCATGTGTGTGACGCTGACCTTAGCGTGGAGGGCGGAGGAGAGACGGAGATCTGCGTGCGGTTTTCAGAGGTGACGAGGTCCTGCAGGGTGCGGCTCATGTCGCGGAGCTGGGCCACGGTGCAGCTCCTCAGCACGGAGCCCTCCAGCTCCTCAGCTTCCACCTGCTGCTCCTCCTGCTGGATCTGCTGCTCCAAGCACCGGCTGCGGTCCTTCAGCTCCGTCAGCCTCTGCTGCAGCTCTGCTATCTCCTCCTGCACAAGTTTCATGACATGAAATCTGTTCTTACAGTAGTTGTGATTGGAATAATAATAACTGTTTTGATTAATTAATTGGGATCCTAATATATTATATGAAATCTTATGAAATAGTAGCACTTTAATTATCCAAACCAGTATATTCAAGTACATAACCTGAAATAGAACTCACTACTAAATGTAGTTAGTGACTCAAGATATTTCACAAATTTAGTGAAGTTTTGATGAGCGAGGAAATAAAATGCAATAGAAGCACATCAGACAGGTCAGACACACACACGACTACTGTAAGCCTTTATGACATGATGTAAACTGACTGATTTACCTCAACCAGCCGTTTCTCCTGAATCAGACGATCTCTTCGATGCAGTGGACCCTGCGATGAGTCCCCTGCATCAGGCTCCACACCCTCCCTGACAACCAGTCACAAAAACACAAAGTCACTACACAAGTCTCAGCAGTGATGTTCTAATATCTTTAATCAGGATTTTTCTCATAACCTTTATCTACGTTTCAGGGTGATTTTGGTCTTTTTCAAGGGCAGTTAAAGTCAGTTTATATGGGCAAAACAAGTGCACTGTGTACCCAGCTTATTATAGATAACTAAAACGAAACTAAAAACTAAAACCTTTCATTTTCAAACAAAAAAACTAAACTGAAATGAGGAGAACACACTCTGGAAATGAAATGAAAGAAAAATAAAAACTATAATAACTCTGCTGGATGCTTAATGGACCATTACCACTAAAGTGTGTTCCCCCTTTTCTCACTTTTCCTCCAACTCACTGAAATAAATGGAAACACAATCTTTGGGGGGGGGCGTGTTTTTTCCTGTTTTTCAGCATGTTATAAACTGAGACTGAGATGTACGAGGTATGCATGGAAAACTCAGTAACACATTAACCCACTGCTGCATGAGCTTTAGGTTAGATTTGTTCAGGATACCCTCTGGAGAGAGACGCCCCACCTGATTTCCTTCCTGCTACAAGAGCTATTTTTTGACATCCCTCCCTAGCCGCTCTGTCCTACAACATTATAATGAAAGATAGAGCACGATCAGGAGCTGAGCAACCTGTCGACTTCAATTCTGCAAACCCAGTAGTAGTAGTACTGTTAATCGCCAGTAACAGTATCAGATTGTGATTAAATTACAATACAATCAACAATTTTGTTGTCTAAATAAATTACACAGAAATAATTAAAGTCTCCCATAAAATGAAATCTAAAATAAAAATGAATTTAACCACATTTCGTGTTACCTTTTTACCTCACTGCAATTAACATCCATTTAAACATTATTAAACATGTGATTCTCCAATATGTCAATAAGGAGAAACATTATACTTCAGTGTCAAAACAGTAGCTGTTGATTACTGTTATTAACTTATATAATATCAGAAAATCAGGGTTTGGCTTATAAATTGACAGTGTGTGTCTACACTAGTAATACATCATGCTGTCATTCAGTGCCACTGTTGCGTGACTGACCTGTACTGACTGCAGTCTGCCCTCTGGAGGGCGCTGTGAACCACCTGTCTGAGACGCTCCAGGAACAGAGCCACGCTGGGCTGTGTGGAGGGTAAACCGAGCTTCAGAGCGCCTCGCTCCCTGCACAGCTCCTCCAGCTTTTTCCCAAAACGCTCAGCTGAAAACACACATGCACACGTACTGAATAACGCACAGCAACATAATGCGAAACAAGTCTGGTTATTAGCAACTAGGTTCAAGTCAGAAAGTCAATGTAGAAACTTGTATTGTGATTGTACAGAAAGCAGAGTACTCTCTAGGTAATAACATTTATTTAGTTCATTATTCAATTACCCAATTATCCCTTAACTAGAGGACACTTAAAGGGAGCAAACTTCTGTCAACACAAAATGATTCTCAGCTCGATGTTTTCAAAAATTCCTATCCGTGAAATCTTAAGAATCCTTCATTTCTTGACCCTGTAAAGGCACACACATGTAGGATTTGTGATCAATCTTCTCGTTGGGTTCATGGTTAAGATAAAAATAATAACTATCTAAGGGTAAAACATCCAAATCTTCATCAGTAAGAAAATCTAATCATCTGCCTCAGTTCTTGTTTACAGCATTTCATGGAAAGCAGTTCTTAAGCTTTTCAGGAATCCTGCTGACAGATGAGCAGAGACTAAAGTCAGCAGGGTGGAGAAGAGTTTAAAATGTCAGGGAGAGGTTTGTGATGCACAATATCAAAAGGCAAACAGAAAACTTGACAAGACACACTGACCTAAATAATCCCTTAATCGCTTATAAAGTTCAAGGTCTACAGGGAGCCGGCAGCAGATGTTGGTATTTATTTTTGTCACAAGGTCCAAGAAATGGGTCAAAATACAGCCTTCTTCTGAAAATAAACTTTCCTCAGGACAGCAAGAAAAAATATTCAGGTCAAACAGGAACTTAAATGAATGTAGTTTCTTCTGGAGACTGATTCAAAACCAAGTCCAGATGATTAAATTTGAGGACTTGTTCCCACGCAGTCTTCAAAGTCAAACGCGGATGACGAAACATGAGTTTGCGTTCACAAAGCCCCAGAAGAGCCAGGTTTTCCTTGTAAATAAATGTGGAATTTCACAAAGCTTTACCTACTATCTGTGCTACTTTGAGTAGTTTCACAATGTCCCAGTTTTTAGTTTTACTTGGCTGACAGATCTGATGTGCTGAGCACTCACGTGTACACATCAGGAAAACTAAGTAGTGGGAACTCAACTATCAAACTAGTCCTCAAAAACAAGAGAGGAATGGTATTATTTGTACTAATCTTCCAATAACAGACTAACAATAAGAGACGAATAACTCTCCAGTAAGTTCGATGTGAAATGTATGTCAGTCAGTACACAACATACCATTTGTTCAGCTATAATTAAAGTGCGGCCTTTTGCCCTCACGTGCTTTATCATCTTAGTATGATTCACAACTAATTCAGTTAGCAAGAAATCCAATAAAGGAAACTGGATGACGTCCCATATCTTCTTAACCGTCAAACTGATCTGGATCCTGACTGAGCATGTCAGTCGATATAAATGGAAAATCCCACAGTTAGTTAGTGTTCACTGTCCTCTTTCCATTATACTAAATGAAGACAATGTTCTTCTTTAATATTCAACTTACTTCAAGGTAAGCTCTCTGCATCCATCCACAACTGCAAAGCTGACCTACTTATTAAAGCATCGGCTCAACTGAAAGTCTTAGTTCACCTGCGTCATAGTCATCATCCAGAATGGCTTTCTGCTGGAGTCTCTGCAGCCTCAACATCATGGACTCGATCTGAGAGAGAGATACAATAGACAGGAGACAGAACAAATTACCCAACAGCGCAGAGGGCAATGCTCTTTAAACAGTCACAGGCCAAGAAAAAGAAAAAAAAATGTGGGTGCAATGACCGTGTCAGTGATACCGGGTCAGCAAGATAAAGACTGGCTCAAAACCTCATCATCACCTCTAAATATTGCTGATCAGACTGTATCTCTTTAGGGAAGACTAATAAACCTAAAAGATATGTTTTTCTTTAACTTCTCAACATTTGTCTGTCACAGACTTAATGGATTCCACTTGTTTAGTACATAAACTCTTGCATTAAAAACATTTGCACTTCAAATTCTATTTACTTTTGGAAACATTTCTCCAGTTTTTGCTTTTTCTCATGAAATTCTGGGTAGTTTTTTCCTCTTCTAGTCTGTAAGAATATTCAAATTCAAACAACCTGAGAAGGACAAACTCACTCTTTTCTATGTAACTTTTTTCATTTTCTTAGTTTGCTCTTGGTCTTAAAGAAAGTCTGACATTATGGCATTGTTTAGATTCTGTAATGACGAAGAGGAAGACCAGTTGCATTTGTTTTTCTGTGGTCCAAATGTTGTAAGTTTGTGGATTAATATCCAAAATTGAGCACACAACATTTATTTTGAACTTACACCTGTAAGCATTATGTTTGGGGTTATGGATGAAAAAACTGTACAAAGATAATTAATTTAATTATTCTGCTAGGTAAAATACTCACATTTAATAATCATAGATAACTAATCTGAATTAAGGATTACGTTTCACAACACAATATGAAATGGGGAAAAACTCCTCTAGTGAAGAGTGGGACTATATATCGCTCTAAATACGCTACCATGTCATATCTATATTTCAGTTCTCTAAGAGTACTGGTACTGTCAATCTAATTATTCATAGATCCAATTAACTTTGTTTTGTCTTTTTTATTCACTCCTTTCTTGTCCAATTGTGTTGTGGGGTTACATTGTCTTGTGTGATACTTGTATTATTTGGCTGTATTAAATATATTTTAAAAAATACACTTATTTGCTTTCTTGCCAAGAGTTAGATGAGAAGATCAATAAAGATAAGATAAATATGAAACTAGAGCAAGCAGCTGGTTAGCCACCTACCACACTGAACGTACCAAGACTGGAAACAGGAGGAAGACTATAAATAGTTCAGCATATAACTATATAATTATGTGTTAATTAGAGAGTTTTCAAGTTAATTGATTAGCTGGAAGGCAGATTGCACCCTTGGACAGAGCCAGGCTAGCACTTTCCCCCTGTTTCCTTATGCTAAGCTAAGTTAACTAACTGCTGTCTCTAGCTTTGTATTTAGGGTACAGACATCCCATCAATCTTCTCATGTAACTCTTGGCAGGGAAGCGAATAAGTGTTTTTCCCAAAATGTCAAACTATTTCTATCCTGTGCTTTGGTTTCAGTCTTGACTCCTGATGTCGGACTCGATTTAAACTCAATAGAGGAGTTTCATCATCACAACCAGCAGGAAACCAGTGATGCCCACCTTAGTGTGAGTGCGGTTGTTTTGGAGGCAGTCTTGCAGCACACCCTCGTACTTCTTCACCAGGTTGTCCCAGGCCTGGTCGGAGGCAGGCGTGGCGCTCTCGTAGCCGGAGGTGACAGAAGAGGCGGAGGCCGTGTCTGAGTCCACAGACAGCGAGGAGGTGATCTCTATATCCAGAGAGTCACAGTCAGGCAGGTCGGACGTAACCTCCCTGCCACCCCACAGACATTCCTGCCAAAACCTCCCGCCTAATGACAGTTCCTCTCTGTCTGCCTGGCCGCCCGGGGCCGAGGAGGGCAGTGATTGGGCAGGAGTGGACTGCTTTAAGATATTGTGCTCAAGGGACAAAGCTGCTGGTTTTGTTCGAGGCGAACAAGGTGCTTTAGTCGACTGATTTAGTGGTTGTGGTTCCCGGGACGGTGTGGTTGTGTCTGTCCTCTGGCTGCAGTTGAGAGACTGTTGGATGAAACTGAAGCTGGAGTTAAAGTCCTGTGGTGAGGACTGGACGACGAGTTCATTCTGTGGCAGAGAGGACGGACCCTGAGGACTGGATGCACCATTAATGGCGCTGCAGTCCACAGGAGGAAGAGGACGGCTAACAGAGCAAAGAAAACTCTTACTCTTCCAGGAGCCACATGTGAGTTTATCAGACTGAGTCTTTGAGGACACTTTGACAGCAGTTAGACTCATCCTCTGAGCGCTGGTTGCCTCAGTGATGTCAGTGTGGCGTCCTGGTTTTCCATTCCTAACGCAAGTGGTCCTCCCTTCCTCCTCCTCCTCCTCCTCCTCCTCCTCCTCCTCCTGCCCATGAGCAGTGCTCTGTAGTCTGGACTGCTCTCCTCTCATGTACCCTGGTCTTCGGTGGAGCCTCTTACGACCGGAGCTGCCAGCTGTCCCCGACGCTCTGCCACCTGTCGATGCAGAGATTAACCATTAAGCTGGACAACACGGTCATGAGGAAGATAAAGAGTGAGCTCACAGGATTAACTGCACAATCATGGAGTACATCAGGAAAATGTGACGCTAAATGAGCCAATCACACAAGAATGTTAAAACGTCATGGAGTTAATACTCCAAACCACAATGACTTTCACCCGGCCCCTTAAAGCTAGCATCGCTAACTGAATGAAAAACAACTTGGGCAGCTGTGTGACATTTCCCAGAGTTCTGCTCCAGCTGTTGGGAAATACCAAAGCCACACAGTCATTTTGAGTTAAGACACGCCTCTCGGTGGAGGAGTCGCAGGCATGAACAATGTTTCCTGAAGTTGAATTTGTTGATCTTTGAAAACACAGCAGTGTTGCTCGAAACCCGAGGTTTTCATACTGAGGGCGTACAGGCATTGCAGGGGAAGCAAAGCTGAATGAATCACGTCGGAACAACAAACAAACAAAACTGCTCTGATGCAAGCTGCAAAAGGACCAGCTCTGTTTCTGAAGGAAAAAAGTGAATCATAGAAATCAATATGATTAAAGCAGCATTATTTGTTTTTGCCAAATTGGGGCAGTGGAACAAGCCTTAAACAACATTTTCATGTGTTTTATACTTTTATATACTGGAGCTTCGCTTTAGCTTGAACAATTAAATAATGGCTGGGGCATTGTGTGCTTGTTTCATCAATTAATAACAATTCAATTCATCAGTATTTCTTAATGCATAAGTTGAGCAAAATATATTCTATCCAAAATGAGTTGTTTTTTTCAACTTTTTGTTAGCTTTCACCCAACAAACTAGTCATTTTTACAAATTTTTGGGGTTATTTCTGTAACCCAACCCTGCTGGGTTATTATAACCTGTGGCTGTGTCGGCCCCTTTTTGGCCCAGCACTTGGTTACCGAAATAACCCAAACTGGGTTATTTTTAACCCAGCAGTTTTAAGTGTGTATCACTCTGCTGCTAAAACATCCAGCAGATACAGATCAACATTAGCACTCATTTGAAGTAGTGTTTATGTCCTCTTGATGAATATAGGCCAGATATTCAGCCTGGAAACTCAACCGAAACAGTAAACTTAAAGCCATAAAAGACCTGAAGGGAACAACGGAGAGCTGCAGGTATTAACTCTCTTTGTGTTTTTGATTATTAGCAACTCCTTTCACATATGTACATATAGTCATTTGAGTCATGAATTCATTAATACATAGTATTGATTGGTGCAGCTTTAAATACAAGATGGATAGAATTTCTGATAGGGAAGGAAGGAAAAACCGATCAAATTAATCGAAACAAACACATTTAGAATCAATATATGATGAAGTCTGTCTTGCTTTTAGGTTTTGCAGTTTGGGAAAAGTTTAATAATTTCCACAGCAGAAATGTGCACAGAAACAGTTCATGGTCTTAACGATGTTACTGATTTCCCTATAAAGTTACTGGGTGAATAAGATTTAATAGCTTTATATGGCAGTAAGAGAAACACTGCAGACAAACGTGGCCAAGCCAAGCAATGAGAAGTGATAAAAACATCAGTATAAAGAGTATTTGGAGCAGGATGATAAAGACCAGTTTGTGTTCAGAGCGGGACACCTGCTGCAGCTTCACGTGATTAATACATATAATGTGTAGGATTCAGAGAGACAGGCAGGCTGATAATGTGGGGAATCAACAGGCCCTTTGTGTACAGCTGTGCTGCTCTCTCTCCCACTTCTGCCTCTCAATTTTCTCTTCCCACTCACACACACACTCAAGACACACAGAGACACACAGAGACACACAGACACACTGACTTTTGTGCTGGGAACAGTGGGAGCATTCATCCTACGGTCATTGTAAAACCGGGTTACACTTTTTTAAAGTGTCATTACTAGTAACAATCAAACATATCTGTAGCCTAGAGATTACCTCATACTGCATTATTATCAGTTTTATTATTTATTAAAAATGTATTAATCTTATTTTTTCTACAAATTCAGTGTCTGTGGCTGTACGTGAAGACAGTTTGCGGGGCACCAAACAAACCATGACCACCACAAAGCAACCACAGCTCCCTGCTCAACCCCCCATGACCTCCAGTGATGTCACTCCTAAACCATCCCATGTGACCGGAGAGGAAGAGACACCAAAAAAACCCCACTTAAGGGAGAGTTGGGATGTTACACTGATGGGAAGGCAGGATTTGTAGTGAGAGTAACACAGGGGTGTACCCAGACTGTCTGTGTGTGTGACTCAATAAGAGTCTCCTGTCCACTGGGACAACCACACTAAAGCTCAGGTTACATACAGCTCCATTAGTGTTTCTTTGCAGACGTGGCCACTGTTCCATAACCAATTTAAGAAACCCAACACTCACCGTAGGCACTGAAGACAACCGCACACCACCCACCATCTGGTGTGGTCAACATGTAACACAGAGCCCACTCCAGAGAGTCAAAGAGCTCAGGAGCCGAAAGGGGAAGGAGTTGCTGATGGAAAGCGTTACTGTATCCTCGCCATGCTTCGATTACACAAAGACGGCTCTTCCCCGTAAAGGGGAAGGAAATGCCTCAGGGCCCATTGTGTGTGTCTGTGTGTGTTGGGGGGCATCTACGTCTCAGTTGAAGCCCCTACAGAGGTATGTCATTTGCTGCTTCCTGCCAGGCTTTGTGCTAAAATAGTTTGCCAGGAATTCCGGCAGAAACGGTAAATAAGCGAAAGGGAGACTTCAGCACCGAGGACCAAATGATTCCCGCTCTCTCTTCTCACTGCAACTTGTTGATGAAGTTAAAGACAGTCTGCATAGAGTCTGAGAAACATCTCAACCAGAGGAGGCAAGATTATTTACCTTTGGAGATTAAAGAGGGCCTCCTCAGAGCCCTTAGGTTAAACACTGCGTCCCATTGGTTGTCTGAAAGTGCTTCAGCCAAAGAGTGGAGGAATGCGGAGGATCTCATAAAAACACAAACGTTTGAGGAACAAACTCAGCACCCTCACACACACACACACACACACACACACACACACACACACACCAGCAGATCTGCATGTCAGCAGCCTCCTGAGAAGCAGCACTTCACCACTTGTGACCAACCAAAGCAACAGAAAATGGGGAAGTGAAAGTCACAGATGAGTCCTAAAAAGTGGCGGTGACGAAGCCTAGAAGCGAATCTATCTCTCTGAATTGAATCTCTGCTCTGGTGAGACTTATAGCGCCGCACTTCCTGTACGGTCACATGGGGATCATAAACCAGCTGAATATGGTTGAGCTGAGTGAAGATACAACAGTGAGAGACTGACATTGTGAGAATGCACAAACTATAAAAACCTACAGTACTATTTAATTTGTTCATGCAGTTAAATGCTAAAACTGTTACTGTTGCTAAAAACTGTACTAACTATTTTGATGTCACTTGAGATGGCCTGATCTGTACTATCCAGATGAGTTGTGATCATTTGATATATGGATTCATCTGATTTATTTAACCTGCCTTTATTTGGCATAGACATTAAATGCTGTTTGCTATCAAATTGTTTATTTAAACCAGTATTAAGAGTACTTGTATAAAAAGTAGGCTAACTAATGTCCACACTGACAAAAGTTTAAACATTTATATCTGTGTATGCAACATAAGCAGCTTAGAACTCGCTCAAGAGAGCTTTAAGTGGTTTTATACATCCAAAGATTTTCTATATAATCCAGACCAGGTGTCTAATTCAGACCTGCATTTGTTTGCATCTAAATGGGACCCTGTTTATAACTTGAAAGTTATAAAGTTGTATGGTAAATCACAGTAATCTTAGGTTACCTGTTATCTAATCTCATTACTTTTGGAAGATTTGAAACTAAAATAGTAAAGAACCAAACACATTAAGGTGGTAACCTGATTATAGAGAGTTTAAGTTTGGCCTGATTTGAATGAGCAGAAATATGTCCCACAGCAGCCTGTATGCAAAATATGCAAGTAAGTTATGCAGGATAGATAATGTACAAGGGAGAACCATCATAAGTCTCCACGCCGTCTACACATTTAGAGGAATAAAAGCATTCACTTTAACCATCACCTATCATCACTCATGTAGGGAGCCTTTGACCTCTTTGACCTGAATGCTGCAAAGACAGCTCACAGCAGTGCCGAGAACCAGCTGGAGGACTCAAAAACACACAGATCCTCCTCTTCCTTCAGTCAGACACTGATTATTTAGAGTCACTGAGCACCACAGTGCAGGTTTAGGATGAGTTCAGACTCACTCTATGCCGTCTAAATAGAGTTTATTCTCCTCTCCAGTGACTTACCTCTTACTTTCTTGTACATTATTATAAATGTGAAGCTCAACACAGTGATCAGCATTATGGCACTTTATAGTGAAGATACACTGGTTATTATTTGTTTAATAGACAGTTAATAGTTAACAAGAGGATGTGTGTTTACCTTCCATGGCTTGGCGGTGGTGAAGCAGAGAGTTACTGTGACATTCAAGCCCCATCAGTCCAGCAAACATCTTTCCATTAACAACAAGCTGTTTTGAGTCAGATCCCGGTTCTACATGGACTCACATCGACCATGTTTTAGAAGAAGTGGAGCCAGGCAATGGGTCTGATCTCATTTCCGTTGTGGAAAAGTGAACCCAGGCTGTTATTTTTTTCCCTCGCTTCGGACTAACGTGTGAAACCGGCTTTTTACACGCGCTCCTTTGTCCATAATGAACATTTCCTGACCCAAAGTATTGCCGCTTGTGCTCCAGATTGTCACATTTCTCCTCTGCGGCAAACAAGTGGGTCCAGATGCGCACGAACAGGCGGAATGGAGAGAAAAGATGAAGTCTTCATGTCATGTTTCTGGTGGTGGTGGTAGGGGGGGGGAGTAAAAAATGGAAGAAAAACACCCGATGATGATGTGCTGTAGTGGTAGAAGTGATAGCCGGGATAAATCTGTGTGTCATCGATCAGTTGATCAGTGGTCCGTTACTTGCTGCGCCCGTGCGTCCGTGCGTCCCTGCGTCCGTGCGTCGTGTTGGAGCAACGTGAGGAGCTCCTACGTGTTCAGGAATTTGACTCCAGACTCTGTCAGACCGCCTCATAACCTCAGCGGCTCTGCAGCCTATGAGTGCTGCAGCGGACACATCACATCGCTTCAGCCCTGCACTTTTATTTTAGCAGCATCAGAGCTGCAGCTGGTGCAGGGAAGGAAGAATATCAGCTCCTTCAACTCTGTTAAAGTCACAAAAACCATAGTACAAGTTCAAATGCATGTATTAATGATGTAGTAATGAGCTTTATTAGTATAATTATTGTCGTTACTGGGTTTTGTATAGAATTTTTAAAGGTAACTACATATAAATTATTTTATTTAAAAAAAACTGTTGTAGACTATGATAATACATATGTTTTATTTTACCTTATTTTTTCAAAGAGAGCCATAATAAAACTGTATTACTCTTTATTGTTACATTCTCTAGAGAAATATTCTTTGGGTTGCAGGGAGACTTTAAGGTGTGGTAGAAATATATGCTGATTACTCAGATCACAAACAATAACATGCATCCATATTTTCCTGTAAAAGTCCCCAAATTAAGATATTTGACTCAAAAATATTACATTATTGTGGCACACTAGTAAAGCACTGAATATAAATATCTAATAGTGGAGTTGGAAATCAGTAAACTGTTTTATTTCCAAATCTTTAGACATTTTTCTAAATACATTAGTATTTTTTCATTGAACTTAAGCTTCCCACTTTTTGGCCATAACAGATTAAAATAATAAAACAAATTGACCAAGTTATCTTTAAAATTAATCTAAATTAAGGTGTTAAACTGGGGTGGCCACACATTTTGTACCCCATATCACCCTATACCCCCTCTCTAGGTCCGCCCCTGTTTGTTGTCTGAAATATAGATTCACAATTGTATTTTCTAAACTTAATAAATAAACATATATTTAGACACATACAGTATGTCCCTGACTATCCAGGTGTTATTCTGGCCATAAAATAAGTAGGTCAAAAGGTTGTTTGTGCACAAAACTGCACCAAAAAAATGTTATTTTTGCATATTTTTAGACACCCCAAACACATCCTGGTGTAAGCACAAAAGTGTTCCCTTTGTTGATGCAGTGGGGGGAATGAATGAGAAGAGACCCCACACAGAGCTGGCTCTTTTCATCCTCCCTCCCACACATCGGAATGGTCCTTTCATTCAGCTCGGCTGGCTGATGGACAAGACTCAGTGATGAAGAGCTCAATTCAGCCGACACCACAACAACAATAACAACGACAGAGAGCAGCCTTTACTTAGATAGGCCACACACTATAATCCACTGCCATGCATGTGCTGTAGAGTGAGGTCAGCTGTCCGGTATTAAAGATTAGAGGAACCTAATGTCTCTGGACAACAACTCATGACTCATGAAACAACTCAGTGTTTCCTCGTGCTTAATAATTAACACTGGTGGCCTCCAGCAGAGGCTTCTTTATCTCTCTATGTCTACAGACATATTGTCACTTAAACAAGAATAAAATGTATGAACCTTTAATTATTTTTAATATTAATTATTCCTTCTATGTCTGCTATGTCACTGGAGTGAATGTGCCACCATGACTGTATTCCTCATGCATCCAAAGCTGTGCTTCACAGATAGTGTACCCAGCTTTCACCAGTAGATGTCAGTCTTCACACAGATTTAGGTATGGGGTTTACTTCCACACACAGCTTTCATTTAGTTACTTGTAAATATTATAGTGGTTTGTTTGGTTGTCTGAGTTAACTATCCCCTTTACATTAATCCTGCTAATATGTTAACTTTGACCTTCAGAAGAGATCATTTGCTGCAAATATCTGGTTAAAACAAAAGTGTTTTGTTTTTCATTTGTTTGAGAGATTTTATTGCAATAACCTGATGCACGCTCTTGTTGCAGCTCCCGACCGACTGCTACAACTCAATTGTGATTTAACCTCTCTAGGTCATAAGAAATTCTTATTATATTATTATTATTCTAATACAGTTAAATACACTGTTGTCTCTCACCTGCTACATAGAAAGTGATGTTTTATATTCCTACTTTGTTGGAAAACAACATGAAAACTTGACAATACAGAACCTTACTAAGACAAGAAGGATGATTTCACTTATTTAAATACAACTTTACATATATACAGTATGTAATACCAAATCTATGCATTCATTGATTGAATTGCTTAATTGATTTACACACCAAACAAAAACAAAACAGCAAAACCAGTTTTCTTTCTGTCTCTCAGACCCCCCCCCTAAATAAAACTCAGAAACCCCTTATACATGTGTGAAAGACAGCTCTGTTGTTTGATTAAATTAGATCTCGTCTAAATTGGAGATTAGTGGTTTCCAGCCTGTGGGACACCAAAGCTTCACAGGGGCTCACAAGAGGGTGACAAAAAAACATATTTTTTTAACTAATTTTCATCAATTTCTGTGAAGAAAACTAAATAAATTTGTTCTTTATAGAGTTTGGATTATTGTGAGGCTAAACAGCCTCAACCGGCATTAGAAAAGTATTAAGCTAACAGAATAATGGCCAAGTGTCAGGGAGAAGTAAACACTGAATTGGTCAAAATAGAAACCTGTTAATTACGTATGATTGTTAAAAATAAAGAAAATACATAACACAATCAGGGAATTGTATAAAAGAACAAACTTCCTGCAGTTATTGCGTCCACTATTTGGGTTCATTGTACAGTTTATCAGTTGTTCTGTACTGTTACTGTTATGTGCTGAATATAAAATGAAATAGCCATAAAAGATGTCGTCAGTTTACTCAATAACAGAGAAAAACACTGTCATAGCAGACAGCATTCAGGTTGTCCTTTGGTAGTACTGATATCGACCAACAGGTGGCAGATTTCTATTACATTCAAACCCTCAAATCACATAAAGAACATAACGGAATTAAATCAGAGATTATCTCATTTGTGGCTATACAAATCAGTTAGCCAACAAAATACCAAATGTCTTACATTTTCTACACAAAGTAGAACTGATCAGAAGCAAACATTTGACCCTAAAGCTGCAGACGAGGCTGTCAGAGAGGAGAAACTGCAGACTGTGAAGCACAACAGCTGCTATAGGACAGAAAACCAACAGAGGCAGTGTTGTTGTTTTGGTTCGAACGATCACACTCACAAGTAACCATTCCTCTTAAAATAAATCGTTTCCTCAAACAGGAATAAGAGCCCCCTGTTATTGACTATAGATTACGCAGACGTTACTCTGTGACCATCCACGAGCACAGCTGAACTGTTTCTCACTGCCTCAAACATCCATCTGGAGAGCAATAATTGACACCATCAGGTGATCAGGGATCAGCAATATAATATCAGTTCTCTGCCAGGGATTTGTCTCAGCGCGCTCCAGAAGCTTATTTTGAATTAATGTCGCGGTGAGGATTGTTTAAAGATGGTAGGATGAGGAGGCAAGGGGTTGTGTGTGGGTGTGTGTGCCAGCAGGCCTACCAGAGAATAGGCACGTACAATGTACAAAGGTCACATGTTCCTCCTCCACACAGTGTGCAGTGAGTGCAGGCAGCCAATGGTTTTACCTTAGATTATCTGTGCGTGATAGAGAGAGGGAGGGAAGGGCAGAGAGAGGAAAATAAAATAAACACACACACACTATCAAAGCAGCTTAAAAAGACTCGCATGGCATATTTGGCACAGAACTTTTATTCATGCAAAACAAGTGAAGTCATCAGATCTTTATCAAAGAAAAAAAAACTGTCTATTGTTAATTTGTTTTTATTACAACAATAACAAACAGCATGAAACATTTTAAACATCTGTCAAATTCCATTAAAAATTCAGACAACCATCAAACTGGAGAAAAAAACTCAAAGCAGACAATGACACCCTAGGGAACATAACGTAAACTGTGCAGGAATTAAACCACTCCTTCCTCCGGGTCGAGGAGCGTGGTCCTACTGGAGAACACGTCGGCCAGCATGTGTTTGGGGATCTCTGAGCCTCGGACACGCAGGGCGTAGCACGCGTCCTCCACTTTGCCCAGGCTCTGTCGCAGTGTGTGCAGCTTCTTGGACACCTCGTACGGGCCCGTGTTCCCGATGTAGGAGAAACCGTCGTGGATCTGCCGCAGGAACTGGCTCAGCTGGAACGGCGTGTCGATGTCGCCGTTGCCCACGCTGCTGATGCACATCCGCATCAGCTCTCCGGTCAGGTCGGCCACGCCGAGCAGGTAGTCCGAGGGGGTCACATGGAAGGTCAGGACCTGAGCTCCCAGCGGCAGGGCTTCGTCCGAGCCCTGGGGTGAAAACAGGATGAGAAAGAAAAGAAAAATCACACATGAATGTCAACAAAAGACACAGATTTTGAGCACTTTTGGGACAGACTGTGCACAGAAACCCTCTGGGCACAGGATATATACAGAAGACTGATGGTGGCAACAGTGTTTACAAGATGTGATTGTTGTTGTGCAGCTGTGCTTGTAGTAAAAGCCCACAAATAAGCAAAGTCCAATTTTCCTCAAGCTTTTACCAAAACATATTGAGATTCAAGCAATTTTGTGTGCATCAACAGGCGCCCATCATCTTTGACAATAACAGGCAGAGTGCCTAAAATGACATAATGACACATAATGCTTATAAATGTGGGACATAGTAACTCTCATTGTTGCCTTTGTGTGCGATTACCACTGCTTTAAGAGGAAAATATGCTTAATTGCTTTCTTGCTGAGAGTTAGATGATGATATTGATACAACTCTCATGTCTGCACGGTGAATACAAAGCCACAGATTTTACTGTGTTAAGTGAATTTCCCCAAAAAATCAAACTATTCATTTAAATATTGTTAAATTTGTCTATGAAAAATGGAGAACATTATAGAAGATGACAAAAAAAAAAAGTCTTCTTTAACTTTACCTTCGGATCGACCTTCTCTGTTCTCATGAACACCAGTCTGGCGTTGATTTCCTCCAGGCTGATAAGGCTGCGGTGACGGATATAGTGCAGGAAAGAGACGGCCTCCACATACTCCTGGATCCCTAATGCATGAAATTACATAGAAATTGATCACCACAAGACATTGGGAAGCACAAATCCAAATGTTCCACTGCTCTAGCTGTAGAATATAAATATGATTTGGGGATTGTGCCTTTATTTTCTCCATTTATTTGCATTTGTGATTTACCAAAAAATACTACTATTACTGGAAAGAAGGTCAACTATGTATCAAATGAGCACAGCACGCAGAGTGTGTATAAACACTACATGGTATCTGCTCGGTTTAGATCACAGATGTAGATAATGATTCACATAAAACCTGTTTCCTGTCGCTGTCTTTTGATTTAACAACAGTGGCCGTTTTTTGTGGCGGGCTGAGATGACCCCTCATTTGTTTTCTGGCCCTGTGTAAACAACAATCAAATAATCACAGGACGGAAGACTTTGTGTCTGAAGTTTACTTTTGGAGCGGCAATTGAACTTCAAAGGGCCTCCTATCTCCACGTAGCTAACCACAGCGTGCTACAGAGAAACGGGAGGAGAACACGGTTCATCTCCACTTCACTGGAAATTACTTTCACTGCTCCCGTTTGTTTTTTAGTCCAAACTGCAGCAGTGTTTACATGCACCAGAGCTGCACTGCATTCACAATAGTTGGCACAGGAGAGAAATATTACAGCTTGCATACACATTTTTCCAAAAATCAAATAAAGTGGTAATATATTATTCACTTTTAACCTTGATTTGACTTTCATAGTGTATGAATTATTAAAAAGTCACCTGAAAAAATATGTTTAGACCCATAGTTTGGTTATTTCAGATGAGGGATTTCTGTAGTTTCATCGCGTGGATCATGTTTACATTCTTACAATCTGTGAGCTGTTCACAGCTTTCCTGTGCTATTTTCAGCCCGGAGGGGAGAAGTGCGTTTTCTCCTTAAGCGAACATCACTGCACTCGTGGTAAACAGAGCGAGGTATGTTATATCTGGTGCTGTGAACACATAAAGCAGCCTACATTTGGAAAATGTTTGCTTGGACACGCTATCACATGTTTAAGCAAATGTTTCATATTCTAATTGAACAGCACTAAATGATTCATTAGTCATTTGAGTCATTTAAATTGCAGCGTAAGGGTGGTGTAAGTGCTTAGTATTGTTCAAATTTAGACGATCTGTCTATAACTTACTGTTCTGTGTAAATGAAAGGCCTCATAAGCATCCAAATTAACTGTTTAATACCGTTAAACAACTGCACCTGTCAGACTGATGAGAGCTTTTAAACTCTTCTATTCTGATTATTGTTAATTTAGTCAGGAATATTTAATGTTATAGGATAAAAATAAATATGTTTACATTTTCAGGGGCTTTAAACTCACTGTTTATTACAGGGACCATATCTTATTCTCATGTATTAAGTACTAGTAGTCATACAAATAAGACCCAGATTTTTCATAACCTTTATCAAAACAAACACAAAAAAAACAACATCCAAACATCTAAATATTGCCAGTGGCCCCGCAGCTGTGACACTGGCTTAGAGAGAATTCAACAAAATCCGAGGCGGACAGGATATGACATGAAAAGGTTACACAGGCTTTGAGGCAGGCAGGCGGAGTTCAGTTCCTGAGTTTACTGCCAGGAGCTGTTCGTGTTATTTACTCTGAAACAGCAGTCACCTTTGGTCACTGAGACCCAGAAAAAAAACAAAATATTACTGGAGATGATGTCGAAACAATGACTCAAGGAAAACCAGCTGGAAATTAGAGCGCTTTTACTGGCACGGCAGCTGGAAAAGTCGAAGGCCGTGAGTGCGTAAAGCCTGGATCAGTAGTTTTAATGGGTTTAATCAGAAAATTCAACAAACACGTATGCATGTCCATGGATGATTTACAGATGAATTGAGCTTAATGTTTGACCACAGAGCGGTTCACCTGGTTGCAGGTGAACCCTGGGAAATTCCCCACCAGTTTGTGCTTGTGTTTGCACTGTCACATAGCTTCTGGCTGGGTCAAACTAAAGAGCTTATCAAAGAGCCGCTCTGCCCTGTTATCAGCTGCAATTATGTTCAGATTTAGCCCACAATATCTTTAATGGTCCTTATATAAAAAGTGCAGACCCATTACACATGCCTGGAGACTTCACGTCCAGCCAACATTATCTGGAGAGCCCGTGCAGCGAGCCCAGTCTCAATCTAATAAAGACGATAAAAATGGAAAAAAAATGAAGCGTCTAATTGGTGGGAACTGCCACTGGTCACGTCGCGGAGGATGCAGCGGTGATTCCTGAGTGACCACAATCTAAAAATGACTTCCCCAGCTGCTAGATAACAGCCAACCCCTCGCTCTCAGCAATGTTTTCCTCCAAACTCTGCAGACATTTTGGCTACACTGACAAAAACTGATATTGATACTACTGGGATAACAAGTTTATCAGAGGGTGTGTCTATCAAATCCAGGCGTGTATCAAAGTCACGCTCTCACACTATCAGCGACTTTACAATAAATCTAAAGCAAAAATAGGAAGATTGAGGCGATAGCAGCACAGCAAAGATCATTTCTAGAGAAAGCTCCAGTGTAATTACATTTTTAACTGCAACATTTTGCTGGAGTTTGTTTCACAATTCAGGATTATATTATTATACAGAAAGAAATTAAGATTTAATTGCGGGGCAGGTTGATTCCAGTGGAAATAACTATGCATTACTCAGAAGATAAATAAAATGAGAATTACTATATAATATTGAAATACAGATTAAGGGAGAAAAGGATATATTTGTCTGCAGCTTTGTAGGTACACAAAGCTGCATATGTAATAATCTATATGAGCATATATTGAAATATATTCATCTGGGTAGGTACGTTGTATTTTATATTATTATAATATACAATACAATTCTTCTGCTTCTTTATACAGTAGAAAGAAATTACCCTTTAAAGTTAATTCATACATCTCTTATGTTACAAAAGCAGACTATAAACTTGACTATCAACAATAGCAATCAATAATATAGTTCAATTAATTACATATATTGTGTAGTTTCTGTCCCTTTAATCAAACGCTAACAAGACTAAGAGGCACTGTGGTGCTTTGAGCTGAATTCTTATGTATAATGATTGACAGAGTTTTTGTTCTTTGAAAGCCAAAGTAGTTGTAAAGTTTTTTAATGAACATTACTAGAAAGAGTCAGAACTGTTGTTCTTTCTTACCCTCAGGTGTGTAAAACTACAGGTTTTGTAATGTTTCACCAACTTTCCATCAATTTCTTTACCATAATAAAGCCTTCGTTGAATGAATCGGTAGCTATCAACACGTAACTACAGCACGTCTTAATCCAAGAATACCCACCAAGAATATTCTTGTTTCTCATTAACTGGATATAAACCTCAAATATTTTCATGTTTATTCAACCAGTATGACTGAGCTGAGTATATCAAACCATGTTTAAAGTTTAGTTAAATGCAAACACAGTCAGTTGGATATTCAATGGCGTATGAGATTGATTCAATGATTACACTTAATTAAGTCACACAATTTGATTAAGTCAGTACTATTTTGAATGTTATAAAGGATCACGATGTAATCTAGATCTCTAAGGTGTTTAATGTAATAAATCAGGATCATTAAAACAGACCTATTTTTAAGCTGGAAGAAAATACAGCTTGACACAAATTCTCTGATATCTACAGTAACATTTTTTACAGGCACTGATCTGGGAAATTAAAAGTGTCCAATTTGTAATTAAATGCCTCTTACTTTGCTTAATGAATGAACCAAAGACAAAAGATTTTCTGAGTTTGCTTCTTTATACTGATGGATATCTTTGAATAACTATTTTCCTGAACCTCTAATGCAACTACTTACAGTTCATTTACAGGAAAAAAAAAAGGTCTCCATAAACTGACCTGCGGTGAAAGCTCTGTGAAACTGATAGATGTCCTCTCCTCTGAGCTCTTCAGCAATTAGACCGATCTTCTGTCGGACTGCATCCAGTTTCACGTCTGCCTCATTCAGAATATCCTCTGCATTTGGCACACTTCCGATCCAGAGACGACAAACAGAATACGAGTTAGAAACAACTTAAACATTACCCTTAAAATCCTCTCTAAAAGTCTACAACTTCCCTTCTTCAGCATTTACGCCACAAGAACAAGTATTGGGTACTTCCAGATAAGTACTAGCATTACTAGTAGTTACCATAAAGGGGTATAAGAGTAGTATTATGATTACAAGCACAAGTACATGAGCACAGTATCAGACAGTGTATTCCTAATAAAAACTGAAGCCAGTGTAATAACATGTAAATCTTGAAGTTAAGCAGCTGAATAAAATTAAGAAATCTCATTCTTCCCAAACCAAAGTGCACAGATTATACCTGGTCACTCTGTGTAGAAGAAAAATTGTCCTCTTGCTCTCGATGGTGACGTCTCGACTGATCTTAACAAGCCGCTCATACTTGTCGTGTTTGGTGTCGAGCTCCTGCTGGAAGACTTTAAAACATAAAACAGACATTTAAGGTTACAGGTTTGAATGCAGACGTCTGAACACTGATGACATACAGCAACCGTGTGGGTGACAAAATGTCATTAAAGTGCTGAGGATGTAGTTACCTTTGAACACAGCGATGATGGGGGAGGATGGGTTGGCGCTCGCGTCACGATCCTGCACTGCATCAGCATTTTTCCGGGGACATCCTTCACCTGACGGAGGCAGAAAAGGTCTGGTGATACCGCAGTTTGTGTTATAATAAACACCTCTGGTTAATGTCATTTTCTCTTAAACTGGGTTAGTCAAATCCAACGATTCTGCACATGATGATTTAATTGTTTATCCTGATGTCATTGAGATTATTATGACTTCGGTTTGACTTATATTTATTGGAAAGTCTGTGTTACAAAGAGTGGATATTGAGCTTGAAAGGCATTGACGTTTACACAGATAGGAAACTAACAAAAGACGCTCTAGAGAAGTGTTTTGGGAATTGTAGGATTTGGCTTTTTTTGGGGGGGGCTTTACCTATTTTAGAGACTAAAAATCAGGATAGTTTGGCCTCTGCTAGATTTGAGTCTAAACACTTATAATAATTGGCCAAAAAAAATCAAAAACACCCAAATAAACAACAATCCAGCTCCTCCAATACGTATTTCCCAATTTTCTGAAACAGTAAAGTGACTGCTGGTCAGACAAATCAAGCTATATTATATATATTAAGGAGCTGAGCACGCTGGTGAAGAAGGCCAGCTCGGTGGTGGGGATGGAGCTGGACAGCGTGGAGGAGAGAGGGAAGCTGAGGCAGCTCAGGAGGACCGAACCAGCCGACAGCCTCAAAGCGCTTTGGAGGATCAATAAAGGAACATCTTATCTTATGAAAACATGAGGGACATCCTGAGAACACTTTTAAAGATCTTCTGAATCATGTTTTAAATAAAGCATGCTCCTGTTGTGCTTAATGTGCCAGCTTTGTCCCTGGGTTATTTATTTATTCTATTTCTATTTATTTAATATACTGTATATATTTATCTTTGTCAGTCATGTTGTCTTTATGTTTTGGTAAATTATTTTTATTGTATATGTATATCTGATGAGTTCTTATTTCGTATTTAATTTATGTTTTCAATCCACTTTAGTTTCTATGAGTTCCTATAAGGATTTACTTGTTTCAGTCTAGTTTTTATTGCTTGTTTTTATTAATATATATTTAGGGTTATTCAGAATAGGCATTAAAATACAAACATGTAAACCTCCCAGTCTCAACAAACATCTGCACCAAAACCTCCTCACGCTTGTTGTGTCGACACATTTCAACCCTTCCTGTGACTTTCTATTTTATTAATAATTATTATTTATGTTATAGTTTGATAAACACACAGCTAGCTGAGTGATAGCAGCGAACAATACAACCTGTAAAGGAAACGCTGTGAGTCTTCGTTGAGTCTCAAAAACTCGGACTTACCTTCTCGTTTATTCATGCCTTCACTGTTTACTTCACAATCCACTGTGTTTAACAATTAAATATTAAAACTACACTTAAATTAAACTCGGTCGGGATTATAATCTGAGCCGCCGCCGACCAAATGTAACGACGGCAGAGTAACGTTAACTTACTTTAGGGGTTAAAGGTCAACAGACTGAAACACAGCTGCGTTTACACCTGAAAGTCAACATCTGTAAATAATAATAAACTCACTGGATAAAGTCTAAATGTCGCGCAAAGCGAAAGAGATCGTGTTTACTTGTTTTTAATGACAGGCATTCGTCTGGTCCTCGCTCGTCGCGGGGCTTTTGCGCCATTTACACGCGTAGCAGGACGTGGCGAGCGGTGCATCATGGGAGATGTAGGAACATAACGTAATGTGTTTTATTACAGCAGTTTCCCAATTTACTGGTTTTATTTGTTGATTTATGTATATATATGTTCTAAAATAATTAAAATCAGTCACAAATGATTGTAGAAACCGGACAGAAATGTTTATTTTAAGAGCTCATCCTGGAATATAACTAATTCACCTCAATATTTCTACTTGTGGTTGATTTATTTTTTCATTTTAGTGTCATGCATGGTTGATGCATTGTTGTACATACTGCATCTACTTCCAGGCACAATCCTGTGTTTAATCTATTGAGTGGGGAGTGACAAAGGCCCGCCCTTGCAACAAAAACACTTTCTGTTTCAAGTGAAAAACCCAAACTGAGCAACCCCTCATCTCCAGACTGCCATCCCAGATTGGCCTCAGTGTCATTTGCTGCTATTAAAGTATGTTTCATCCAACCTTTCTTGATCAGATTACTCGCTCCTCTCCAGTAACCCCTCCTCCAGGGACTCCTGCAGACTGTGTACGTGCCACACGACGGGTGCCAACTTGAGCTTTGCCTCTGCACAGCACACTCCCTGTCATTGAATCACCCGCGCCACTCACTCGCAATGAAGAGTGATATACCCCACTAATATAAACATAATGACATATCCACCCGAACACAAGTTTATGTTTCATAAAAACCAAAACAAAACACATCGCAGTATGCATTCCGATAGTTGCTTTAAACTCCCCTCCACCGCAGTTATGAACTCTATAAACCGACCGATGAATGACTAATTAGAAACCTTGAAAGCACCAACATCTTTATGCAAAATATTCTTTTGTTGTGTGAGAGGAATTTCACACATGCAAGCCAGGAATGAGGGCATAACACACTGACGGTGACGTAGAGTGGTGGTGCCTTCAGGTGCTCCTTTCAAGCTCCGACATTCGAGGCTTCAAACCTGCTGGGGTTTTCCAATGGTTTGTGTTATGGAGTTATTGTCACAACATTTTTGATTCTCTTAAAAACACATGACATAATTGTTTCCTGCAACAAATGTATGCAGTTTGGATCATATTTAAATAAAAAAAAAAACTTTATTGTTCCATCTTGGTATTAGAGATTAATACACACAGACTCTGGATGAGGTAGAAAAGGCAGAAAGTATGTTTTGTAAAATGTAGATTTACTACATCGGCAAATCCAGATTGTAAAACACTTAATTACAAGTGAAAGCACTGCATTCAAAAGTTTAAAAAGTATTAGTAGATGTATTATCATTATAGTATAGTAACGTATAATTACTTTAATATATATTTTATATAATACTCAGAATGCAGGATATTGCCTTTTAGATTGTATAATTATAATATATACAATTAATATTTATTATTATTGTGAATTATTCTGATGCATTACTGTGTAAGAAGCATTGTAATGAGCTAATTGTATATATTTTAATACTGTTTGGTAATCTATAACTATTAATCAGAATTGATAAAGTATAAATCAGCATAAAGTGGAAATGTTTATGGATAAATACTTAAATTGTAGAATTCACTCTATCGATGAACATGGTCATAGAGAATAATCACCGACACAAGATGACAAATAAATCAGTTTTATTGATTTACCAGAGGGCATACATACACGCTCCCCCCCTTTGAACCAGACATAACGATCGATTAACTCTCCGCTCTCCGACAGCTCCCTGAAGGCAGCACGAGTAGGGGCGGGGTCTTGTGTGCGTACGTCAGAGAGAGAGCGAGAGAGAGAGAGAGAGCGAGAGCGAGGCTGAACACACACACACACACACACACACTGTGAGCGGCGCCATGCACTACCGTCGCACCGACAGCTAGCCAAGCCGAAATGCCACCTGAAGCCCCGGCCGCGAAATGCTCGACCGAGGGGCAAACGTCTGTTGTGTCGCCGCTCCCAGGTGTGAAGAAGAGACTACGTGTGGTTTAAAAATGGCGATGTATTGAGTCGTACTTTTCCGTCTCGCGCGGTGTAGCGTGGCAGCGGCAGTGGAACGTTCCCAAAGTTGTCGGTTAGCAGGGCGCGTGTGAAGGATCGGACTTAAAGGGGCAGCGCGCAGCCGTTGGAGCCGTTGGAGCCGTTGGAGCCGCAAACATGGAGAAGCAGCAGCAGAGCGATTTGGAGCGAGAGCGACAGTACTGTGAACTTTGTGGGAAAATGGAGAACCTCCTCAAGTGCGGTAGGTGCCGGAGCTCCTTCTACTGCAGCAAGGAGCACCAGAAGCAGCACTGGAAGAAACACAAGCTCATTTGTAAGGAGGCGGACAGGGCGCAGCTTCCCAAACAGAAGCCCGAGCAGACGACGCCGCCGCCGCCTCAACCCCCACCACTACCGCCGCCGCCGCCGCCGCCGCCACCACCGGGGGACGACGAGGCACCGGAGAAACACCCGGAGCAGGCGGACAGCGCAGCTCTACCACCAACCGCAGACGCGTCTGGGCTCGGCGACAGACCGGGAGAGGACGGGTCCTCCAACGACACCGCCACACCTAACGGACAAACTAGCTCATCCCCTCAGAAACTCGCCACGGAGTACATTGTCCCGTGCATGAACAAGCATGGCATCTGCGTGGTGGACAACTTTTTAGGAGCCGAGACCGGGCTGGGCATTTTGGACAATGTCAAAGCCCTGCACAAAACCGGCAAGTTCACGGACGGACAGCTGGTCAGTCAGAAAAGTGACTCCACTAAAGACATCCGAGGTGACAAAATCACGTGGATAGAGGGGAGGGAGCCCGGCTGCGAGAAGATCCGCTTTCTAATGAGTCGCATGGACGACCTGATTAGACATTGTAACGGCAAACTGGGAAACTACACAATAAATGGAAGGACAAAAGTAAGTATGGCAGCAGGTGGAGACACACAAGCAAGTATATTTTATATGTAAAGGGGGTTTCTGTGTGACCTGTGGGGACGTGCACAAGGGAAAATAGAGATTATCACCTCAAAAAGGGGAAAATGTTTAATTATAAGTGTGTGAAAGAAGGTGGGAAATGCATATAATTGTCCAGATATGTGCATTTTTTTACATTCAGACTTAAATAAAGCCGCATTAAGTGATAGAAAATCAATTAACCAGTTAGATAAATCACCTGAAAATGAGTTACACCTGCCATGCAAGATTTAAGTTGCAGGTATTTGGGTGGTCACTGGTCAAACCCATTGCTTTCAGACATATGGATTCTCTCATAAAGGCACCATTACTTTAAGTATCTTAGTCCTGTTTGCTAATTAGACCTGACTTTAAGTGTAAGAGGCTAGTGAGTCCTCCCTAACTCCACAGTAAAGCGTGGCTAATGCCCTGAGTCAGAAAGGTGGATTATATCTTTAATACACAGCATTCAGAACTCCTCCTCGGACTTATAAACATATAAAACATTTTTCTGGTAAGCAGCAGTCCTGTAATTAATCCTACCTTAATTAAGAGTGTAAGGTTCAGATGTAGTTGATGCTGTTTTTATAGAGGTGTTGACTCAATATACTCATTTTAGAGGGTTTAGTTTTGATTTTCTAATATTTATCTACCCAATATATTGACTGGACACCTCTCTGAAACATATTCAACTGAATCTGAGTACTGAAATGTTCATAAAGGTCGGATTTAATGCAGGATTGTTTGGTTGCAACTGCTGATTATTTTCTCAATTAATTATCTGGTCTATAAAATAGTTGAAAATGCCTTTCAGAATTACCTAAACCCCAGCTCAAAATCCAAAGATATTAACTTCACTATCACAAAGCTCCAAATCCCCACAACTGAGGAGCTGTAACTAGGAAAGATTTGGGCTTTTTTTGGGACTATAAAACATCCTGCATGTTCTCAATATCATGCTGCTCTAATGGACATGTGCTGCAGCTTAATGCACGCACAGAAACAAGGAAAGACGTCTGAACACACTTAACCAAAATTGTGCATATGACACGATGCGCGACGCTGTCATTCTTACTATAGTAAACAAACATGATGTGTGTGAAGTAGGATGAATGTGACCATGTCAGGGAGTGTGAGGTCTTTAAACTGTGCTGCTGGATCATCCCCGGGGACCCTGTTCTGTAGCCGACTGCAACCTTTGACCCAGCTGTGTAAAGGTGGCAAGCTAAAGGAGTTCAGTATTGCTCACAGTTGGTAAGACAGAGCTACACGTTTCAGTTAATGTTTGGAGGAAACTGTGGGCAGCTTCTGTTTCACGGAGGTGCGTTTTCTAAGAAAACATCAGAGGTGATAGGCAACGATTCAGGGTGGCTCCTCCTGAGACAGTGAGCAAGTTGTCCCGACACCTCGGTAGTCATTTCTAACTGTTACTGTTCTCCAACTGCGGTGTGTTATAAATGCAGCCTACGTCAGCCCTAAGCAATGTCAGCCTTCTCCGGTGCGGCTGTTGAGTTGTGTGTGATCTGTGACTCTCCTTTTAACCAGATCTGGTCACCACCATGACCTTGTGATATGAGACGGACCCAGGAGAACGCTCTCTTACGCCCCTCCTGGGGGAAATACTCTGGAGTAGACTGTCACACAATTTTGTTCAAGAGAAGTTATTCTGAATCCTCTTTCCAATTATTTAAGAAATGCAAACCCATATAATAGATACGTCTAAATAACACTTATGCAGTCCTGCTGTAAGTCCTACCTTCATGAATTTAGCTTTTAAATGTTGTTAAATAAGCTTTATGCTCATTTTGGAGGCCACAGTTTCAGAGGGGCTTTTGTTCCACCCATATATATCAAAAAATATTGATTTAGATAGTAGGAACATCAGTCAGTATAACACAATTAAATGAAACAGCACCATAAACTGCAGCCATAACATTAAATGAACACCTCTTTAGAATATAAAACCTGAACAATATAACCTTCACAAAGCTAAGATTTATTGCAGAGCTGTTGGTGTTAATCTGATACATGCTGTCTTATCTTAATGCCTCACAAGGTCTTTTCTTTCCATTTTTGAGGAATTTACAATAGATACTTGGTGTGCTAAATCAGCACTTGTTTTTAACTCAGTTTTTGTTTTCACATTTAGTTTTATCTGCTGAATCACTTCTATGTTAAGCAGTGTTTGAGCCGAAGGTTGTGACCCCCGCAACATGGTCAGTGTAGAAGCCAAAGGTAGAGCAAGAGCTAAAAGTCAGACCCTAAAAGGATTAGGATTAGCACATAAAAAATGATACTCCTGAACACTAAGCCAACCCCACCCAGGGCCGCCACTGTTTAATACTTGTCACCTTGCCTTTATCGTGTTGTGTTATCGCAGCGCTTGACATTTAAGGGATCTAGCGATGAAAGAACACACATTGGATTTAAGCCCGTGGCCTTCGCTTGCTTCGGGTACTTGGTTTTCTGTGCTGGCAAAGAGCTCTGATTGCCCGCCCGCTGTTATTTTTAGGCTACTCCTCCTGTCCAGTTGTGTTCTTCTCCCTGGCTGATTCTTAGCAGACATGAAAGCACATTATTTCAGTGAGTGGTCAGGTTGTGCGGCAGATCCACGCAGCTGGCCTCTGAGTCAAACTCTGTTGAGAACTTGACTTCCTCACCTACTGCCCCGGTTGCCTTGGCAAACCACACGCCTGGACCGCGACCAGCAGAAATCAGCATGACTTGCACAAATGGACGGCCGCCAGTATCAATGGCTCAAAGGGATACAACACAATGTAAGCACAATTTGCGTTGGGAAAGATAGAGGAAAAAGATTTTGCCCAAATAGTTATTTAATGTCATTGTTTCCATTTCCCCCTTTTCACTTGATAACATTGTGGGAAGTCGCAGGCAGCAGGACATGTTTGTTTCTCTGCAGCTCCAGCATGTTGAAGGCTCGCTGACGCCATTATAGCATTGTCAGGGAACATATAAAGAAGTTTGGAGCAGCAGCATGATTGTCCTATCACTGACTCACTGCTCCCGGCTTCAATGTTGGTATGCCCAGCATGTTAAAACAGTAGCTTGATAAGCCAAGGCTGCATTATAAACATTCTTACTGCTACTATGCAAAGCTGCACTACAGTTATGTTGTACACGAAACATGATAACTCTGTCTAGCGTGCCAGTTTTATGTAGCTCAGTGTAGAAATTTTAAATACTGGATTTAACTGTGCTATTGTTTGGCCCCAGGTACTGTACTCCTAACAATATAATACAGTATAATATGGCATTTATTGAAAGATGAGGAATTCCACTGTGATAAACAATAACAATACACGTGTTGTGTGCCATGTTGCCAGATCTCTTCATAGGTGGAAAAGGAAGTCAATAATTAATATTATACTTCTATAATATACTTATACTTCTAATACTTCAGAATAATGTATATGGAAATCATTAAAATCAACTCAATTTGTGTTTTGTTTTAGCAATAAATGAAACACAACAACTAGCTGAAACGATAATTTCATTAATTATTTAGTCAGTCAAGAAAATCATAATCGATTAGTTGCATAAAAGCCAAACATTCCCTCGTTCTAGCGTCTAGGATTGTCCACAGGGTCTTAAAAACTCTAAAACCCTATCTAAAATAGTCTGAATTTTTAAAATGTGTTAATGTGATCTTGACTGGCCTTAAAAATCATTATAATATACAATTAAAGTACATTAATAAAGTTAATGCTACTTGTATAAAGTTGCATTTTTCAGTCCTGATTTTAAATGTGTTTAAGGTGGAAAATATGTATTGATCATGCTGTAACAACTACAAAACCAAACAATCATGGAATCAACACAGATACAAATTCCTTCACAAACTCTTATTTGCCAGTATGGACCTGAAATAGGTCTTAAATTATGCTCATCATTGTCTTAAGAAGTCTCAAATGTAACTGGTTGAAACTTGCAGAAAACCCCTTGGTCTGATAAAATGAGACATTTTAATATGTTGACATTTTATGTACCAAATAATTAATTGATTTAAGAAACTAGGCAACAGATTAATCATTAATGAAAATAATTGTTTGTTCTGGAAATTCCATTGGAAAAACTTCCTGAGATAAAATACCAACGTTTATTGGGTTAATGGCTCCTAGTATCCCAGAATCCATATTGTCTCACAGCATGCAAGTATATCGTCATGGCATTCAACCCACAGCCTCTCGTTTTCACTGAAAACTGCTGACAGATGCTCAGAAGCAGTATAATCTAAACAGGATAAATCTGGACCAAATCCACCCCCCAAGTGTTGTGTTTGATAATGAACATAACAGAGTTTTTATATTGTTGAATGTTGAGTTATCTGTTGCGTCATTCGTAATGTCACAGAGCAACTGTGGACATGTGTGCTTTCATAAGGAAGTTGACCGTTGACCTAAATCTTAAAGCTCTATAGAGTAAGTAGGCTAGAGGAAGTCATGTGGTGGGGGTCCTCTGAGTGTTGGAGCCGGCTGTACATTACGCTATAGGCTGTTTTCGAGCCGCTCGTTTCTTCCGCCTACAGCACCGGTATGCCCGAGGCACAACCTTGCATGCCACCTTTTTCCTGCTTATTGTTTTACCATCATACAGTAAACAATAACCGTCATCCGAGTATGAGCCGACGCGCAGCCTGTTCTTTCTTAGAGGCCCGTTGTCTGTGAGTTTCTGATGATGCTTATAGTACCTTTTTTTTTTGTTGTTGTATGCGTGACATACCAGAGAGATAAGGGAAGACTGGTAGTTGGATGTGACACGCTGTATGGCTGTAATATGTTGTATTATTTACGGGGTCTGAACACCTGCTCACTAGCAAACGTTAAGCATTTTGATAGACTTGACTCAAATCCACATAGGTGTTGTCCTAACTTTGAGCACATGCTTATCTCTTCGTTTACTATGCCGTGACTGTCTAAGCAGGACCTGGCCGCGATCCAAGTGGA